ATAAAATCCCGCAAAAGTCAAAAATGCAACTATATACGATATTTTACATGAAAACAAAGTAGTAGACGAGAGGCAAAGCTATAGTGCTCTGCAATAAAAAGTTTTGGATATCGTAACGTAAAAAAACAACTTCGAAGAAATTTCAAAAAAAAAAATTGAAAAAATTTGAAAGTTAAAAAACAAAAATTTCCGGAAATTTTTAAAAATCTGAAACAAATTCAAAACAGTAGACGAGACCAAGGCCTTATCCATTTCTGCAATAAAACGCTTCATTTAACTAACTACGTGGAAAATAAACTGCTCAAAAAATTTTTAAAAAAAATTAAAAAATTCTGCAATGAGCAAAAATCAATTATGGGATGTGCTACAAATATCTAAGAAACTCAGGGTAGTCGACAAGATACCATGCTATCGTTTGAATTCAAAGGCTTTTATAAATTAAACCCGGCGCATTCGCCATTTCTGGGGGAAAACAATTTTGAAAATTTTAGCTTACCAATTAAATACATATTTGTATATTGAAAAGTATTCCCTGGAAATTTCATTAAGATTAAAGCAAAATTGTAAAAAATATACCTACGTTTTTAAAAAATTAATTTTTAATTTTTTACATAAAAAATTTTATCAAACACAATATTAATAAGAGTTTTATAAAAGTTGAGGGATATATTAAGAAAAATGCTCTTTTTAAAGTGAGGTTAAAAGATTTTTCGTAAAATCATTTTTAAAATGTTACGATGCTTTTATAAATTAATCCCGGCGCATTCGCCATTTTTTGCGAAAACAACAATTTTGAAAATTTTAGCTTATCAATTAAATACATATTTGTATATTGAAAAGTATTCCCTGAAAATTTCATTAATATTAAAGCAAAATTGTAAAAAATATACGTTTTTAAGAAATTAATTTTTAATTTTTTACATAAAAAATTTTATCAACCACAATTTTAATAAGAGTTTTATAAAAGTTGAGGGATATATCAAGGGAAATGCTCTTTTTAAAGTGAGGTTAAAAGATTTTTCGTAAAATCCTTTTTAAAAGGTTACGAGGCTTTTATAAATTAATCCCGGCGCATTCACCATTTTTTTTTGCGAAAACAACAATTTTGAAAATTTTAGCTTACCAATTAAATACATATTTGTATATTGAAAAGTATTCCCCGAAAATTTCATTAAGATTAAAGCAAAATTGTAAAAAATATACGTTTTTAAAAAATTTATTTTTAATTTTTTACATAAAAATCGTTGTCCGCAAAGAAATGGCTAAAATCTTACGTGAGGGATGGGGGGATCTACCACATCTCACCAAGGGAGAGGGAGTCCAAATTATAATTATCAGAAAAATGCCTCACGTAATTATTATTAAAAAATTATTTTTATGTTGATAATCTGTAAATACTTAATTTAAGATTTTCTTTATCTGAGAGTACCTATGTAAGTATTAAAATATAAAATCACTTAAAAATGATCATTACTAAAAAATATTTAAAAATCACTTACTACTTTGTTGCTGATTGCCTAGTTAATCAGTCCCGTACTGGACCTACCTGTAACAAAGAAAGAAAACATTCAAAAACAACTCAAACAAGCAAAATCACAATTTTTACCTTTAAAGCCCTTTCCCTGTCACCATCGTTGTTATTGCATCTCCAGACAAAAAAAGGTCACTCACGCACTAAAATATCGAACCGAAACTCACAAAAGTCAATAATATCTGCATTTTTATCAAAAGGACGCCAAGCACTTTACCGATTGTTTTGCAATTATGGCTGCCAAAGTGACAAAAGCGAATCGCCCGGGCAAGCGCGGTGGCTCTGTCAAAAATGACACGATTTTAAAAAATGCTTTTGAAACTTGGAACTTCTAATCTTATATTAGTTTAAAATAATTATTTTATCGATTTAAGTTTTATACGACAATTACCTACACGAAAGATTTTGTTTTATATTGTCTTTACACTGTAACAATGAAAAAAAAAAACATTCAAAAACAACTCAAACAAGCAAAATCACAATTTTCACCTTTAAAGCTCTTTCTGTGTCACCATCGTTGTTATTGCATTCTTAGACAAGAAAAAGGTCACTCACGCACTAAAATATCGCACCGAAACACAAAAAACTGCAATAATATACTCATTTTATCAAAAGAACGCCTAGCATGTCAAATTACCGGTTGTTTTGCTATTATGGCTGCCAAAGTGACAAAAGCGAATCGCCCGCCGGGCATGCGCGGTGGCTGTCACAGATGACACGATTATAACTACAAAAAAACAAATGTTCGTTTTTAAGTAAAAATAACTATATTGCAAAGTGGTTTAATTTTAATTATTTTTAATAGGTCTATTAATATTATAATGTTTATTTGAATCTTATTTTAACTTGCTATGATAATATTAATTCAAGTATTTAAAACAATGTAAAATATAACTTTTATTGCTGGAATTTAAATGATGTTTAGTTTAATTAATAGTATATTAAAGTACAAGTTGCAGAAGGCCACATATTCTCGCACGAATTCGAAATTTGGCCTCGAGCGACGAAGGAGCGAGTGGACGAACGAATGAGTGCGAGAATAGCCTTCTGCAACGTGTGATTTATACTATTTTCTCGATTTTAACTTTTATTTAGGTTTTTTTAAATGTTTTGTGGTCGTTGTTAGTTGGGGGATTTTTCTTGCAAAATGTCAGTTGGCAACACAAAATGACAGTTGCATGGACAGGTAGATTTATTTTTATTTACTATTTATTAATAATCTGTCTGTATTTGTCAACTGGATAATAAGGTTTTGTGTAAGTATTGTATTATTTTTTAATGTTTTCTGATATTTTTGAACAATTGTGTTTACTTTTAGCAGTGAAAAATGTCACAGGAGGTTTTACAAGCAACACTGAACATTACAATAAAAGTTTATAACAATTGTGCTAGTGATTAATTTATATTAGTTTTGTGTTTTGTGTACTGTGGGTATATAATATTTCCAATAAAATATAGTTTGATTGACCTGTCTGGCTCATTTATTTGTCAATATTTGTTATCCTGCACAAGTACAACTGAACTGCACTTTTTCACATTAAACTTAAAATTTTGCATTAAAATGCATTGTTGGAGCAAACTTAATATAACAAAACAATAATAAAGGCTTCATTTTCAATAAAAGTGTAGTTCAGGTTGCACTAGTGCAGGATAACAAACAAAGCTATTATAAATAATCCTAAAAGTAATGAATTTGAGGTTATTAAACAGTTTGACATTTTGGGGGTACCAATACTTAAAAACTAAATGTTACCAAAAATCGTTTAAGAATGAGCTTCATTCTTCAACGATTTTGCGTGCGAGAATATGACATTCTTACATAAAAATCGAGAAGGATTTTTTTCTCACTTTTTTACCCTTCTGAAAGTACTCTAGAAGTTTTAGATTTTTAACATGAGCCCTGACAACTTGCTTGGGAAATTTAAGGAAATGGGGTGGTAAAAAATGATCACAACAGGAACACATGATTTAATTAGTAGTAAAACACATATTTGTGAAAAAAAAATGTTTTATTGGTCTTATTTATAACTTATTCATTGTCTTCCTCGTCATCGTCATCCTGGTTGTTGATCTGGAAGTACCTGAGCTCGTAACTGTCTTTTCCCGAAGCAACAACTCTCAACCAATCGCGGAGGTTGTTTTTCTTGAGGTACTTCTTTGTAAGGTACTTCAGGTACCTTTTGGAGAAGGGAATTTCGGAGCTCAGAATCAATTTGGTGCCCTTTTCGCGCCCCAAAGTCACGGCGTGCTGGGCGCCTTTGCCCCCGGCAAAGTTACCAGTTTTGCCGTTGATCTTTATCCTCTGCTTCAAGTAGGTTTCCTACAAAATATAAACGATTAAAACCGCGCCTTATTGGCCCACAATCTGGTACATACAAAGTTGGCAACATCCAAGATTGAGTCCTCAACGGGATGAGTGCAGTCGATGACGAATTTGAGGGCGACCTTCTTCTTTTTCAGACCCTTGCCGCGGATTTGTTGCTTTTTGGGTTGGGCTTTGCCCGCCACTGCTTTTGTCTGGAATCCACAACATATTTAGCCAAGTGTTTCGACATACAACAGCGAAATTTTACTTTTAAACAAAATAACACTGTTGCAAGTTAACACGGACTTAAATCGAGTTGCGTTTCAGCCAGACGTTTTTTAAATAAAAGCCCTGCAGCTGAATACGCCTTAAAAACAACCAAAATTATAATATTTATACTTGAAATAAAGTTAACCTTAAAAACTTAATCCGTAAAAATCTCGACAATCATCGAAAATTTTACCGAAAAAAAATCTCAACAACGTTAACTAGGCTTCGTTCTAAACAATTCGTGCAATATTCTCGATAAAATACTTAAATTTCACTTAAAAAACGAAAAAATTACTTACGACTGCCATTTCACTGACGCGCAACTTGACGTTGTCAAAACTAGAAAGAGTGAAGTCGGCCGCGGATCTGACAGGTCAACAATCTCACCACTGCTGCCAACTGTTGAACAATAAAGTTACTAGATTTTATGAAAACTACGAATTTTTTCGATTTGTTATTGTCTTGCGAGATGATTTATTTTATTTATACCTAAGACGTTTAATATTTTAAAATGTAGTTACCTGTGGTCCTGACCTAACGCAGAAGCTTTTTTACACTTAATTTGTTAATCATTCAAATTAAAAACAATAAAAACTGTGATAGTGTGAAGTGGTGTTTTAATAAATAAAAACCGGTGTTTTTTGTTTGGATATATTTATTTTTAATATTATACATTTATGTAGGTATTACATAATTATTGTAAGTGGTACCTGTAGACACACCTAAAACATATCAGATTATTTGATTTTCAATAATTTTTCATTATTATTTGTATTTGAAAAATTCAACACACAAAAAAGCGTTTTTAATAACAGGGTCTTACACAATGTCAAAAAATGGAATGTATCTTGCAATGTTACATTTAGTGTTACGTATTTTGTCAAAAATATCTCTTATTTTCATAAGTCAATGGTTTTTGTCACCAAAAACAAGAATTCACAATTTTCCAAAAAATTTCACGGGGCCTCTGAGGTTTGCAATAAATGTTAATAAATAACGAATAAATATTAGTAAAACAACCAACAATATCTACAATACTCCATTATATACAAAAATATATAGGTCAACAACGTTTTTAATTTTTTTGTCCTAATTAAGTTTTAATAAGTTAAATCGGCCCCAAATTAAATGCATTTGGCGACAAAAACCGACCGATGGATAGGTATCGTGTTTAGTGCTTTTTTCATCTAAACTAAACATTTTATTAATATTTATATTAAAAGTTTTCTTTTGACATCACAGCTACTAATCTAACACGTATAAACAAAATGGCGAACATTAAGTATTTTTATATTGCGTTATGATATATTTTTCATGTAAGTTACAACAAAAACAAAAAAAAATCATTTAAGTAGGTACCTAGCAGTAGTTCAAATGACCCAGCAGGTGTTTTTGTTGCATATTGCGTTATTTAAGATAAACCTAACCATTTTATTTATCCGTTTACATTCAATAATATATATGTTATAAGTACCCATATATAACTACATACAAAAAAATACTATTTAGCTGCAAAACACTGTTGTTTGTTGTATTGTATATATACATATTTCATATTTATTATGTACGGGGTGTCTCGAAAATGGCTCACCCATTTCTCGCCGAGTTTTAAATTTTGATTTTTCCAAACAATCTCACTTTTAATTTAAAATACGCACGTTGTGTTGCTGATGCGGTTTTCGGGACACCCTGTAGAATGCTTAAAATTTACCATTTATTTTGTTTCATCATATTATTTTATGTTTTAAGGTAGTATCTCCTTCCATTTGAAAGGTTTCCATAGAATTTGTATTTTACGATTTCTCAAAAGCACTTTTTAAAACTGTCATTTGAAACTGCGTGCTGCCAACTTAAAAAACAAAAAATATGACAGTTTTAAACCTTGAATTTTGCGATTATAACAAATTAAAACATTAAATTGTTCCTTGATTACTTTTTATGTTGTTTTTAATTTAATTTATTAATTTGTTGATTAAAATGAAACGTTTTTTACCACGGCCTACTGATATTTATTTATCAAACGTTTCAAATGAAGATACTACCTTAAGAAGTAGTACCTATGATAAATAATACTAAAAATGATAATAGAGGTTTTTTAAGAGAGTTAAATAGGGAAAGTAAAAAATTGTGCGGTTTTAAAAATAATACGATAGTTAAACATCGAAAATCTACACAGTAAGTATGTAAAAATGTATGAAAAAACACGGTAAAAAAGCAGCCCGATTTGATTGCACACTTTACAAAAATTTGATATGACTTTGAATTATTAAAAATTGTGTCCTTTTCTTCATTTATTAGTAGGTAGCAATTAAGTACAAAAGCCTTTTCCATTCAACCATTAAAAACAACGGGCAAACATGCTCATCAATTTTTGACGTTTTAAATGTTAAAATGACGTTTCAATGTCAAAATGACGTTTAAAATGTCAAAATCACGTTTAAACGTCAAAATGACGTTTCAAATGTCAAAATCACGTTTAAACGTCAAAATGGCGTTTTAAAAGTCAAAATGACGTTTCAAATGTCAAAATAACGTTTGTAAGTCAAAATGGCATATTTAGCATATTTTAGGGCGAAAATGTGTTATACAGCAGGCGTCAGCGTTAATAATAAGTTATTTTTTAGATAATAGATACGACTAGCGTTTATTGATTATTATTTAAACCACGAATCGTAAATAATACTTTGTCGATTGTGTGTTTATAACATTTATGTTAAGTATAAGTAGAGTGTAAAAAATAAAGTCGTGTAAAAATGGACCTTAACCTAAAAAAACACTACAAAGGCAAAAAGCAAGTTTTGAGTGTGGGAGAGCACGAGGGGGCTATTTTTATATTTATTTTATGTATACAGGGTGTTTCTTTTAACTTGAGACAGCTCAATATCTCGAGAAATACGCATTTCACGGAAAAATGTCTTAAATAAAAGGTTAATGTGACCAAAGGAGACATTATTTGGTGCTACCGCTAGCCACCCCCTACCCCTCCTTAAGGGTGAAACGGGGGGTAACTTTGGAAAGTCAAATGGAATGACCCGATTTTTTTCACAGAGTTTGGGAGTACATAAAAAAATTAATAACTTTTATTTGAAAGTTTTTTTCAATTTATCAACAGATGACGCTGTAATTCAAAATTTAAGAAAAAGGGGTTTCCTTGTAAAATGTATTATTTGAAACGTTTGAAAAACAAAAATTAACATTAAATCAACAATAGTCGGCTCTGAAAACAATTTATAACAAATGTTCGAAATGTCGTCCTTCCATTTCGACACCAAGTGGAGCACCAGCGTCCCTGGTCGGTAAACGTTTGGTGCGGTACCTTAAGCGAACGATTAATCGGGCATTAAATGGCGAAAAGTACCGGAATTTTCTAGAAAACGATCTGACGGACCTTTTGGAGGATGTACCACTAGCACGGCTCCAAAACATGTGGTACCAGCAAGATGGTTGTCCTGCACATTATTCGACAATTGCTCAAGAGGTGTTTGATCGGGAGTTCAATGGCCGGTGCACCGCGGTGGATCGGTAGACGTGGTCCAGTAATTTGGCCTGCTCGATCACCTCATCTTACGCCACCAGACTTCTTCCAGTGGGGTTACTTGAAAGAAAATGTTTACGCTGCAATTCCTACAACTTGGGAGGACATGGTGGAGCGGATCAGGAACGCCTGTGCGGCGATACCGCCCGATATGTTGGCGCGTTGTGTGCCAGAATTCATTATAATGTATACCCGCATTCAAAAATGTGTTGAAATGGAATGACGACATTTCGAACATTTGTTATAAATTGTTTTCATAGCCAACTATTGTTGTTAATGTTAATTTTTGTTTTACAAACGTTTCAAATAATACATTTTACAAGGAAACTCATTTTTCTTAAATTTTGAATTACAGCGCCATCTGTTGATAAATTGAAAAAAGTTTTAAATAAAAGTTATTTATTTTTTTATGTACTACCAAACTCTGTGAAAAAAATCGGGTCATTCCATTTGACTTTCCAAAGTTACCCCCCGTTTCACCCTTAAGGAGGGGTAGGGGGTGGCTAGCGGTAGCACCAAATAATGTCCCCTTTAGTCACATTAACCTTTTATTTAAGACATTTTTCCGTGAAATGCGTATTTCTCGAGATATTGAGCTGTCTCAAGTTAAAAGAAACACCCTGTATATATAGACTTTATATATATATATATATATATGTACTTTAACCTAGCTAAAGTGAGAGGAAAGTTTGGTTTAATAACCAAACTTTTTCTTATTTTTTTTTTATCTCTAACAATATGGACGATAATTATGATATCCAATGGTCTAAGAAAGACCACGCGGGTGCCCTATGGCACTAAACGCGACGAAATTGCAGGAAAAACGGCTTCGATCCGCGCCATTTGACGTTTACATAACCTATAAACGTCAAGTTGCGCAAACGTCGATCGTTTTTCTTGCGTTTCCCTGTTGCTGCGCATCGTTTACATGGTGGAGTTGTCCCACTCGAGCTGGCTGACGTTCTGGTAGTCGTGCTTGCCGCCCGGTTGGCCGCCGAAACGCTGGAGGGGGGGGCGGATCGCCTCCTCTTCTTCTTCTTCGTCGTCGTCGCTGCTGTCGGCGGAGCGGAGGCGCAACGAGCCGTCCATCTGCTCGTCGTGCTCAGAGTCCGACGAGTCGGAGCACGACGAGTTTCCGTCCGAGTCCGAGTACTCGATCGTGTGGCTGGAGGAGGCCTCCATTTTGCGCCCGGCCGTCTGAAAATGCCAATACGATCAGAGCTGGGAAAATTACTTACTTTTAAGTATGAATAAAAATAGAAAATTATGAAAATTCAACAAGTTGTAGGTTAGGTAATTACTTTGAATCATTCTGGAATTCCCCCAGAAAGTATCAAAGTTACAATGAAAAGTATCTAAGTTACTTTAAAAAGTATCTTAGTTATTTTATTGAGTAACGGAAATTTTCCTTGGAAACTTTCTCTGTTTTTATTATGCAAATATCAATAAAGTTAAAATTAACGTTTTTGTTGCCAAGAGAAAAATCTCATATTTGGAATTACAAGTGCCTTAACTCTGAATATGCAAGAATCAAAATACAAGGGACTGATAATTCTTTCAGATGGTTGTGGCACTGATAAATATAATAATAATTGTAGCAACAACAGAGCATGTATTTAAAAACTATAGATTCACTCAAAAATGTTGATTTTATTTTGCCTGTAGTTTTTTTCCATATTTTATTGGTCAGAACTGCAATACTATTTTTAGTTTCTTTATCTTTTCAATACCATTTATTTTTGCAATTCTGGCACAAAAAACTCATTTCCGCAATAATTTTTTTTTAACTTTCTGGAATTTTCGTCAAATGGGAAATTTCCCATCACTAATTTTAGTACCTACACCCAAAGATAATAATATTCCGAAAATCATAAAAATAACACAAAATTTGCACGAATTAAAGACAAGAACAAGATCAACAAATTTGAAATTTAATACAATAAATGAAGCTACAAAATGTTGTAAATTTTATTAAAATCAAACAAAAATTGTTTGCGATTTATTTCTATTTAATTTTGATTTAGATGATTAATGATGCTTGGTTAAAGAAAGTATTTTATTAAAAAATATATATACTAATTTGAAATTGCATATTGAAAGAAATAATATAATTGAGAAAATTCGTAATTTTTATATCTTCAAGTATTCATTTATTTTAGTTTGCAACTGGAGATGGAGAAAAGAAATATTTATCAAAAATTACAGATGTCAAAAATTATATCAGATTCTATCAAAAATGACAGAAGGTAAAATGACATATGTCAAAAATGACAGATGTCAAAATGTCAGATGTCAAAAGTATCAGATGCAAAAATGACATTTATCAAAAATGTCAGATATCAAAAATGACATTTATCAAAAATGTCAGATGTCAAAAATGTCAGATATCAAAAATGACATTTATCTAAAATGACAGATGTCAAAAATGACAAAAGGTAAAAATGACATATGTCAAAAATGACAGATGTCAAAAATGTCAGATGCAAAAATGAAATTTATCAAAAATGTCAGATGTCAAAAATAATATTTATCAAAAATGTAGGAACGCCTAAATGCAGGAATGTGCTCCATCTTAATATAATTTTTGCGTAAAATAAAACAAACCAAATCAAACCAAACCCAACCAACCCAACCCCCCGTAACCGCCCTATTGAAGCCTAACCACCCTATTGAAGACGATTATTCCTTCGTGCATTGCCCTTTATCTCGAACTTTGTTACCGATGGAATAATCGTCTTCAATAGGGTGGTTAGGCTTCAATAGGGCGGTTATGGGGGGTTGGGTTGGTAGGGTTTGGTTTGATTTGGTTTTATTTTACGCAAAATTTATATTAAGATGGAGCCCATTCCTGCATTTAGGCGTTCCTAAAAATGTCAGATGTCAAAAATGTCGGATGTCAAAAATGACATTTATCAAAAATGACATATGTCAAAAATAACAAAACAAAAATATAGGCCTCGATTATTTGACATTTCTCATAAATCTGAAATGTTTCAAGAAAAATAGCATAGGAACAAAACTTTTTTGGGTTTTAGACCGTTGGCTTAAACGAACAAAATCCTGTTATTTTTATGGATAAAAGGTGTTTTAATAATCCCCTTTACCTAGTAATAAAATGAATAAAAAACAAAACAGTGTTACTAAATGTAAAATTGTAATCGAACTAACCTCCATCGGATTGACGGTGATGGTCAGAGCGGAATCGTCCCAGGTCATTTCCGAGTCGTGCGGCTCGTCGCCGGCGCTCTTGGAGTGCGCGGCCCTGATCCTCACCGCCCCCAGCACGATCATGAACATCAGGAAGCCGACGCAGACGACCACTATGATCGTGACGGCGTGCGAACCGCCGGCGGACATCAGGTTCACTCTCTCCGCCGCCGAGTTGTAATCGTGCGAAATCAAGGAGGCCGGCCGCATCTCCACCGAGTGCTTGTTCACCTGCGCGTGCGCGACCATCGGCTCCTTGGGTTGCGGATGGATCACGGTCAACTGCAATTTCGATTTCGATTTTCGTAAATATCTCGCTTACTATTGCTCGCACGTAAAAGTAACAAATTACATCAATTGTACACCATCAAATTTTCTACAAGATTGCTACCTTACAGCGCACCATTAATTTCGCAATCCACATCAAAGTATACTTTTTGTCAACCAACTTTGGACAGTAAGAAAATATTTAATACTTCCTAACCGTGTAATTTAATTTCATCATGCAAGTAGAATTTTTGTGCATTTCATAAAACGACATAAAATGATTTATAATTTCATCAAAAATAGCAAGAAATAACTGTTGATCAAATCCGTATCATTTTCACTGTTAATAATTCAAGTACATAATTAGTAAAATTGTTAATTAATGTGCTATTATGAATGGCTAATATTATTAATTTATGAAACATGACTTATGTCAAAAATTACATATGAAGGGGTAAGAAGCAAAAAGGTACAAGTGCAAAAAAGAGAAGTGGATTTAATAACTAACTAAAGTTTTTGCAATATACAAAAATCCGGATACTTGTTTTAATGTTTGCATAAATCAACATGTAGAACTTCACGTTATGCGAAAGTTAAAAAAAATGTTATTATTTTCATGGTAAAATCAACTTGCACCCTTTGGCTTCTTACCCCTTCCTAAGTCAAAAATGACAGATCGGCCATTTCAAGAGCGCGAAACGCACGGATTACAAAACTTTTTTTTTTTTAATTGTAGAAAATTTATTAATAATATTTTGGCATCAAAATTGTCCAAAATATTCTTCTTTTATACATTAAATAAAAAAAAATAAAAAGAAATATTTCATAAAAGTAGAGATAATTTCAATAATTGAAAGATGTGGAGTCAAAAATGACATCTATCAAAAATTACAAATAATGTCAAAAATGACAGATGGGCGATTCCATGATTACTAACGGGACCAACAGAAAGAGAACAAAATGTTTTATGAATATATTTGAAGATATGTTGTTCCTGTAGCAATAATGTTATGATAGTTATTATTACCTAATTTTATTGCTGAGAACTATCATAAAATTATTATTAATGGAACAACACATCTTCAAAAATTTTCATAAAACATTTTGTTCTCTTTCTGTTGGTCCCGTTAGTAATCATGGAATCGCCCATCTGTCAAAAATTACATCCATCAAAAATGACAGATGTCAAAAATGACATTTATCAAAAATTACAAATGTCTAAAATGACAGATGTCAAAAATAACATAAATAAAAAATGACAGCTGTCAAAATTGAAAGATGTCAAAAATGACATCTATAAAAAATGACAGCCGTCAAAATTGAAAGAGGTCAAAAATGACATCTATAAAAAATGACAGCTGTCAAAATTGAAAGATGTCAAAAATGACATCTATAAAAAATGACAGCTGTCAAAAATGCCTTTGATCAAAAATGACAGCTGTCAAAAATGTCTTTTATTAAAAATGACATCTGTCAAAAATTACATCTGTCAAAAATGAAATTTATCAAAAATGATATTTATCAAAAATGAAGGATTTCAAAAATGGCAGATTTCATCCGTGAAAAAAACTTACCGTTTGTACGTATTCGTTGGAGGTAAAACGGCCGTTCAATTCCGAGCAGGTGAGCTTGAAAACCCTGTTCAAATAGTAGGCCGGTTTTCGATTGGTGTAGACGATCTGCCTCAAAACTTGCTGGTAGTTGTAGACCATGTCGCTGCCGGTGATGGTGACGCCGTCCTTGGAAACACGCGCGGCCATTCCGAGTTTCTTCACCATTTCCTCCGGCACGCTCAAGTTCTCGTGGTCCGGGTTCAAGTTCGGGTAGATCGTCAGAGAGCACTTGTCCAGCTTCTGCTCTCCCGTTATGTGCACGTCGGCTAGAACGCGCACGCCCATGCGGAAGTCTTCGTACTTGCGCGCCATGTTGCCGGTGCCGTTCAGATTTATGCTGGGCGTTTGGGGTCTAAAAAAAGAATGTTAACATTTCGACCATTCATCTCATCGAAAACTCACTTTAAAACCATGACCACAAATATCAAAAATACAAATGTCAAAAATGACAGCTGTTAAAAATGACATATGTCAAAACTGACAAATGTGAAAAATCACAAATGTCAAAAATGACATCTGTTAAAAATGACAGATGTCAAAACTGACAAATGTGAAAAATGACAGATGTCAAGAATAAAAAATGTTAAAAATGTCAGCTGTTAAAAATGACAAATGTCAAAGTCAAAAATATCAAAAATACAAATGTCAAAAATGACAGCTGTTTGGGGTCTAAGATACAAACAAAAGAATGTAAACATTTCGACCAATCATCTCTTGGAAAACTCACTTTAAAACCATGACGTAGGTCTGCGCGTCGGGGACCTTGACGGTCTTCCCGTTGTCGCACGTCACCGTCGTGGTCAACCTCAAGTTTCTCCGGCCAGGGGTGGGAAACTCCCTGGTGTTTGCGTAGCCGATTTTCCTCACCAGAACCTCCAAGTTGGTGCGGTTGTCGCCCTCGACCGTCACCTCGGTCAAGTCGGAATTCGTCAGCAGTTCCATGCCGGGCTGCAGCAGCTCCATAGCCGGCACCTGCAGACTTTCTTTGCACTGGTGCAGGCAGTTCAGCACCTCGGGTTTTTCGTTTTCGCCGACTAGCACGCTCAGACCGGCCAGGTAGCCTTTCAGGTGGTGCCTCATCTTGTTGTCGGATCCCTGAAGGAAATATTTTAGCCAAAAAATCGCAAAAATCCGCCCAAAAAAAAAAGTTATAAAGGTTTATATTTGGTCAATTCTCATATAACTTGTTCCGATGCTGTATCCACTTATTTTTGTGAAAACTAATTCTCGCTCAAGGTTTTTTTTTAGTGTAATAAGCATGTAGCATTTCAAGGTAATGGGAACTTAAATTATATAATATGACAACCCTAATCTATTAATTTTTTCCTAAAATGCAGGCTTTATGTTGCAAATGTCACATAAGTTACCGGTCACCAACTGCAATATCCTAACATCGATGAATATTTCAACAAAATGGCCGTTCAAACAACTAATGTTAGTGCTTGATTAACTAAAAATAGACTTAAGATTGACAAAAAATTATTTTATCCGAAATCGGCAGTAAAGTAGTCAACAATCGTAAATTAAAATAAATAAAGTAGAACTTTACTGCCGATTTCGGATAAAATAATTTTTCGTCAATCTTAAGTCTATTTTTAGTTAATCAAGCACTAACATTAGTTGTTTCAACAGCCATTTTGTTAAAATATTCATCAATGTTAGGATATTGCAGTTGGTGACCTGTAACTTATGTGACATTTGCAACATAAAGCCTGCATTTTAGGAAAAAATTAATAGATTAGGGTTGTCATAATTTAAGTTCCCATTACCTTAAAATGCTACATGCTCATTACACTAAAAAAAACCTTGAGCGAGAATTAGTTTTCACAAAAATAAGTGGATACAGCATCGAAACAAGTTATATGAGAATTTACCATTTATGTTCATTTTTTAAATCAAAGAAACTTGGTTTTAAATGTCCCATTTAAGAAAAATAAAGAGTGTCGTGGAAACAGTTGCATTTTTTTTCAAATGTTTGTAAAAAATGGGAAAAAAATCGCGAAAATCAGTCGAAAAATAAAAAGTTTTAAGAGCACTTTAGAGAAATAAAAGAGTATCATAAAAAATTGCATTTTTTAGAAATTTTAATGTTTTCTCTACAATTTGGTTATAAAAATCGTTAGCAACCAAATTATAAATAAAATTCTGTCTAAATTTTAACTTAATTACCTGCCAGCAGGCTCCAACAGTGAGAGTGGTGTTAATTCCCTTGGTAGGGTGCAAAGGCCAGTCATCGATGACCTCTGGATTTTTCTTCTCAGACCTGAATATTTGTCCGTCAATATACAATTCCACATCAGGGAAACGAACGTTGATGGCGTAGTGATGCCACTGATCGTCGCATACCTTAAATTATAAATGTTAATTTAGGGTTTTTTCTTTTTATACATTTTTTTATTTTACTTGTGGTATCTTCCAACGCCATTCAGCGGGTCTGAATATGTTCAGGTCGCCTTCAGAAAAGTCACGACGCAGCAGCAAAATTAGTCTGCAGTTTCTCACAAAGAGGGCGTAGTGGTGACGGTTCATTTCTAAAAAAACAGTACCTACTTATTTAACATTGTTTAAATTGCGTTGGAAAAAATTAGTAAAAATCACGTCAAAAAAGTGTTATATAGTAAAAAAATGCATTCTTTCTTCAACACCGAGCTTACCGAGGACGTTAAAGATTTCTGTAACGAATTTTGGGAAAATTAAAAATAAATAACAGCCATTTTGCTGCATCGTGGCCAACAAATTTTCCAGAGTAATTTGACTAAATTGAGTTAAATTAAAATTTTACTTATTATTTTTTTTACCGATATCATCTGTCCTTTTTATCATCTATAATTTTTAACATCTTCTATTTTTGACACTTTTTGACATCTGTAATTTTTTAACCATCATTTCTGATAAAAGTCATTTTTGACATCTGTCCTTTTTAACATCTGTCATTTTTAATGGACATCATTTTTGACATTTGTCATTTTTGATAGATTTAATTTTTGACATCTTTCATTTTTGACATCTGACATTTTTGATAGATTTCATTTTTGACATCTGTCATTTTTGATATATGTCATTTTTGACATTTGTCAAAAATTATATTTATCAAAAGTGACAGATGTCAAAAATGACGGATGCCAAAACTGACATTTATCAAAAATGACAGACATCCAGACGTACAAAGTGACATTTATCAAAAATTACAGATGTCAAAAATTATATCCATCAAAAATTACAGATATCAAAAATGACATTTATTAAAAATGACAGATGTCAAAAATGAAATTTATCATAAATGACATATGTCAAAAATGACATTTATCAAAAATGACAGATGTCAAAAATAACAGATGTCATTTTTGACAAATGTCAATTTTCATAGATGTCATATTTTATAAATTAATAATTTTAGCCATTTATAATAGCTATTAATTAACAATCTTACTAATTTTGTAAAATAGAAAAGTTGTTGGCCATCCTGTGTGTTTATTTAATTAATGATAAGAAAAACTTACTGTGATCATCGGCAGAGCACAAAATGTGCTCCTTCAGATGTTTGTCCTGGCCAGCATGGTTGCCATGTCTCATCCAGGTGGCAATGGTAAACGTGGGAGGTAGGTTGTGGTCCAAGACGGCGTTGGGAATGCTGACGGCCGTCGAAGTTCCGTCGAACTCGAACATTTGATCGGATTCGTGTCCCTCGTCGGATATCAAAGGTTTCGTCCATTCCGCCCCCACCCCCGGACTGGGGAGCAAATCTATTGCCGATGGGGAAGCTCCGCACAGCTTCCTTTGCGACTGCACCGAATAGGTGTCGCGGTCGCAACCTTTCCCGATGTGTCTGAAAGGTAAAAAAAAAGATTGTTCGAGTTGTCTTTTTATAGATTATTATTATTCCTTACCTAGTAGCAAGATCCACTCTGGTTCTGAGCTCCCGCACATTGCAAGGGACGTCGCACAACTCCAGGCCGGCCGAAGGGAACATTTCCTGTTTTCCGGTCATGGGCGCGTAATCCACCCTTTCCGGGAGCCCCCTCCAGCCCAGGCGACAAACCCTGTTCACTTTGATCGTAACCAGGGCCGGGAAACTTTGCCTCATCCCGCAATCGTAAGCGATTACCGATAAAATGTGGTTGTGGGACCTTTCATAGTCCAAAGGTTCTAAAAGTAAAAGTAAAAATGAATAAAAGGGCGAGAATTTGCAATTATCAATGTTTGATACAAAGTGTATCGATTCAACAGGTGCGTTATTCGGCCCATGGGGCTCATAAAATTTAACGATATTCGAAAACAAATTTACATTTCCCTCGACGCGCATTAAATCATTTTGGGAATTAATTTTATATGGCAGATTTTAGATCAAAATAATGGTATAATATTATACGAGATGTAATACTATACTCTATTAACTCTAATAAGTAGATAATTATAATTAAATGATTTTTAAAAATAATTAAATAGAATCTGAGATCTGTCAAATTGTTGGGGAATTTACAAATGTCAAAAATAACAAATGTCAAGAATGACAGAAGTCAAGAATGAAAAATGACAGCTGTTAAAAATGACAAATGTCAAAACTGACAAATGTGAAAAATCACAAATTTCAAAAATGACAGATGTCAAGAATAAACAATGTTGAAAATGACAGCTGTTAAAAATGTTAGATGCCAAAAATAAAAATGTCAAAGTCACAAATATCAGAAATACAAATGTCAAAAATGACAAATGTCAAGAATGAAAAATGTCAAAAATGACAGCTGTTAAAACTGACAAATGTCAAAAATTACAGTTTTTAAAAAAGACAGATGTCAAAACTAACAAATGGCAAGAATTAAAAATGATAAAAATGACAAATGTCAAAATGACAGATGTCAAGGATGAAAAATGTTAAAAATGACGGCTGTTAAAAATGATAGATGCCAAAAATGACAAATGTCAAAGTCTCAAATATCAAAAATACAAATGTGAAAAATCACAAATGTCAAAACTGACAAATGTGAAAAACCACAAATGTCAAAAATGACAGATGTCAAGAATGAAAAATGTTAAAAATGACAGCTGTTAAAAATTACAAATATCAAAAATACAAATGTCAAGAATAAAAAATGTAAAAAATGACACGTGTCAAAACTAACAAATGTCAAAACTGACAAATGTCAAAAATGACATGTAAAAAATGAAAATTATAAACCATCATATCTCATAAACCATAAAAGAAAGAGAAAATCAAGAGACATTTATAGAATCAGCGACTCTTTGACAACTATTTAGACAGTGCAATGTACCTGTGTTGCGAATAACGCCGTCCATATCGATGACGAAAGGTTGATCGCTAGTCAAGATCTCGTACTTGCAAACGTCGCCGAATTTCGGGGTGCAATCGCGATCGGTCGCCTCAACTCGCACGATCTCGTTGTACAATCGTCCTTCATCCACCTGACGCACGTAACTGGGCTCCGAAAAAGTCGGGGCGTACTCGTTGACATCTGATACAGTGATATGCACGGTAGCGCTGAAAACAAAGAAAAATGCCGCTTTTAGATGACAGTTACTCCATGTTAAAATATCGATTTTTTTGTGTAATTCAATAAAAACTTTTTAAATTAAAATTCAAATGGAGCGTTTAAAAGTTAACGACCTAATAATAAAAATCTGTAACGTAATAATTTACTATGCAAAAATTAATTATATTTTTAATTTCTTGAAAGTTACTAGGTACCTAACTGTTTAAGTCGTAACGTTGAATTTACGATTATATTTTTTTTTAACATTGTCGAGCGGGCTCCGCTTTTAATTTGCATTGTGCGCATAAATTTTTACGATTTTATCGTACGAAATTTCATATACATGCATGGAGAGTAAATGCCATTTATTTTTTGCCAACTGAAATTGGAATTTTATATTTTGTTGCCACTTTTCGTTTGAAATAAAGGATATATAACAAACAGCTTTTATTTACAAAAACCTATCAATATTTATTGTAAAAATAATTACTTGGTATTTTTTTTAAAGAACTCAAATAAACGCAACTTTAAACATTGTGACAAAACTATAAATTTTCTCTTAACCAAATTTTATGTAGCGCCATCTAGGGGAATTTTTTAAATTTGTAAATTCCCGGTAAAAATAACATGTTTGTTGTGTCAAAGAATCATTTGCAATACAAATAAGACACCTTCCAAAGTGAATGAGATTATTAAACATTAAAATATTCGTCAGTATTTTCGAATACTCTATGAAATGTGTAGAACGTGTTACAAAAGTGTGTAGGTGTGAAAATATTTATAAAACACCGTCCCAGTTTTTATTTTCGATGTTTACTGCACTGTGACTAATTGGAACTTTAGAGGAAGCTTATCCGCAAAAATAGACAGTGACACTTAAATCGCCCAATTTTAAAACACTACAATTCAATTTTCACATTTATGATCGAATCAAAGGGGTGCAACAAATAGAGTTTAATTGCGCGCAGGGGGGTTGGCAACACTGTCTGGTGCCTGGTTCTCATAAAACCAGGATTAATTAACGGGTTTAAAGCACCCCAGGCAGTAGCGTGCCGTGGGTCAAAGGGCGGAGGGGGCGAACTTTCTTAAAAACAAAATTTTTTTATTTGATACAAAATTGTCAACTAATTAGGGCGCCAAATGCGCAATTGTACAGAGGGGCGGGGGGGGCCGCCGCCCCCCCTGGCCCCCTATACGGCACGCTACTGACCCCAGGGTAGGATTATGTCGCACTTTAACACCCTGCACTGTGCATATTTTAACAACAACTTTACCTTTATCAATTTCACGCCTATTTATAGGCGTATACGATTTTCCCAAATTAGTTTTTCCATGGAATGTCTTCAAAATTTTGTGAGGCATCAGACACATTTACTAATTTTTTACAGCACATTCCAAGATAACAATTTTTAGCACTTTTTACTGTTTACTTTTTATGTTGTTTTTAGTTTTTATTCATACTTTAATTGGTAATTAAGTAATAATTTGTTAATTAAAATGCAACGTTTTATTTTTACTACATTGGCACAGCCGAATTTTCAGTCACGGCCTACTATTTATTTATCAAACTCTTTAACCTTAACATGTTGTATTTTGATGAAAAAAGGCTTTAAACAGTTTTTCGCACGTGAACTATGTGCTAATACTGTTAGTACAACTCATTTCTCAGGCAGTGTCAGTGAAATAAAGGAGCCCAATGAGTCTTATTTCAAAGAAAATAAATTTGGCAAATCAAGTGAATTTTTTTCACGGGCGCTTTTAACGAAAGCAACGGGGATCGAAAGCAATTAGTCGAGCCGAGAGTTCGAGAGAGAAAAGGGAAAAAATAAAATAAAGTTTTCCTTTTCGGAGTCATCTTCAATCCTCTCCAATTATAATTGCAAATGATTTCTTTGAAAAGGAAAAAACGGAAGTTGTCTTTATGTTTTAATATTTAATGAACACAATGGAAGGATATTAGTCATGATGATATACAAAGTGTTTTGCCTCTCAATACAAATTAAAAAACTAAATTTCCTACAAATTAATCATTGTCAGTGGCGTGCACTCCTTACCCTCGAATTAAAGTAAACAGTGTCATGTTTATGTCAAGTTATGTATGTTAACATCGCAGCAGGCGGGGTGGGTTTAAAAGCTCATTTAGATCCCTGATACTCAAACAATGTTAAATAGCGTACATGGAACAATTAGTTCGCTATTGATTTACAAAGAGAGTTCCGCGGTTTTGCTTATTAAAGTTGGCAACAATTTTGCTGCTAAATGCGGTGCAACATACTCGACTTCGTCCTAATTTACAAAACATTGATTTTAAAAGACAAATATATACAAAAAACGTAACTATAAATTTTAGATAAAAATTTATTTACGAAAAATTTGCTTTTCCGAAAATGTTTCTTGACGTTTTGTTAACTCAATTCCTATCAATTTTCGACCAAATTCAAATAAGATGATTTAAAATAAGTTAATTTTGACATTTGTCATTTTTGACATCTGTCATTTATTAAATTCGTAATTTTTGACATCTGTCATTTTGACATCTGTTATTTTCGACATTTGTCATTTTGACATCTGTTATTTTTGACATTTGTCATTTTTAACATCTGTAATTTTTGACAGTTGTCATTTTACATCTGTTATTTTTGACAGGTGTAATTTTTGACACTTGACATCTGTCACTTTTGACATTTGTCATTTTTACATCTGTTATTTTTGACATCCTTCACTTTTGACATTTGTCATTTTACATCTGTTATTTTTGACATCTGTCATTTTTAACATCTGTTATTTTTTACTTTTGTCATTTTTTACATCTGTTATTTTTTACATTTGTCATTTTGACATTTGTTATTTTTACATCTGTCATTTTTGACATTTATTATTTTTACATCTGTTATTTACTCGGTTATTTATTACATTGGTCATTTTTGACATCTGTCATTTTTCACATTTTTTGCATCTGTTATTTTTGACATCTGACACTTTTGACATTTGTCATTTTTACATCGTTATTTTTGACGTTTGTGATAATTTATGAATGTTCACCCTTAGTAGGAAATTAGTCGACATCGAGTCGTCTTGGCAAAACAAATTGATTATTGAGATATCCGTGCAGGGAGGAAATTGCCGGAGAAATTGCCATTACGTATTCCGTTTGCAAGATGGAACAGAAAATCTCCAGTCGCATCGTTTTTTATCTCCCTGTCCTTTGTAATCTCTCCTCCGTCGTCTTTTCTTTTCCAAGGACGCAGTTTAAGGCCCCTAAACTACTTTAATTCGCCTTATACTCGTGCGACGTGCCCCGAACATCATTAAATCCCGGAGTTTTCCGGGATTTTACTGACATACTTGAATTCGTCTCATCATCAAGTGTGTTAAAAAACCGTGTTAAAAAATGTAATATATGCTGTCAAAAGTAAGGAGCAGTTAATATTTTATATTTACTAAATTAATCTTTGGTTATAGCCAGACTATGAAAGAGAAAGAGTGTAAATTAAAAAACGTGCCTCATCAACAAAAACTTTTACTTATCTTTCCTAAAAACTATCGAGTGGGTGAAGAAGAGTTCAATTAAAAAAAGCTCGGCAAACACGATTCGGCACTCCTTTAACCTAAACAAAAACCACAAAGAAACTTTTCCACTTTGTAACAAAAGCGACTTCGATTTTCCTCACTTTTTCTCTCCATCACGGCCCTCGTTGATTCTCTCTGCATGCAAGGCGACTGTCGAAACAAAATTTGTACAGTACCTTTAATTCGTGTCTAATTGCTGTCGTGCAATTTCCTGCAGCAGCAATATTTCACTTGGACCCAGGATATTGGTGTTTTAATTTAGCAATTTCGTCCCCTAAAAGATTTTTCGCTCCGTTGGCCCGGACATTTTCCGCCTTTTACCTGCTTTTATCTCCTATAACGTCATTATTTTCTTGTATGTTACGTTGAAGTCAGAAAAGGATATTTTTAACAACAAGAGACAGAGAGAGAGAAAGAGAGAGAGACAGATAGTGGGAGGAAAACCTCCCGCAAGTATAATTATTCGTCGCGGGATTATCAAAGCAAAACTTTTAACTAATCAGAATTTATAGGCAAACTTTAACACTACTGGATACGTCGCGAATATAAAATTAAAAACACTCGTTAATTTGCATGATAATCATGATGATTTTGTTTATAGACACGTGACCGTACGTGCCGTTTAATAAATGAGTAATTATTATGCACAAGGTGCAACGAAAATGAGTTTTTCATGTCTTGATGACTTATATGTCCATATATCTCTTATATTATTAATTTTATAGATTCGACTTATATGACCTTTTTTGTTAAGGACTAAATTTCCTACGAAAAATGTTTTCCACTTTTTTCTCTGAAGCCAACCGTTTACAAGTAAACAGCACAATAGAATTTTTGACAAGATTTACATAAAAACTTAAAATTAAAATTAAGTTGGTATGGTAAATGTTACTCATAAGTCATATTTTTACAATATTAAGACCACTTTATAACCGTAATTAATTCCTATTCGCCTGGTATTTTTTAGGGTATTAGTGGTAATAAATACTATTAATATTGACTAAACAAGGAAAAATAAACCTTAAAGTGAAAAATATTTTTTTTTCAGGTCGCTATAATGAGTTTTTTAAAATGGCATCCATTACTTATCTAAACATTTATATGATATTTTTTCATAAATATTTTTCTAAAATATAATAAGGAAAATTTAGTTATTAAAAAATGATTAAAACTAAAAGATTTTATAAAATTTTGTAGGTTTTAAGTTGTGTTGAATTTTTACCCAAGCAATAACTTTTCTTAAAACTGTAAAATATTTAGAGGGCATATATTTTTTGAGATGTATCGTGCCTATTTGTATCAATAAAATAATGTGCGTTTGAGTTTAATGAAAAATATTATTAGTTTTGACAAATTAAGTAATATTTTTTAATTTTGCTTTATAGGTTGACCTTTATTATTTTGTAAGTACCATTTTGTAAAATATAAATTAAAAGAACAAAGAAATTACGAATGTCAATGTATTAGAAAGAGAGTTAGTAATTATAGCGTTTTTTTACGTAAATTTGTAGTATTTATATTGTTTTTATTACGTTATTCTCTTAGTAGATCAAAAAGGTTATTATGTAGGTAAAATAACGAAATAAACCATTCCCCAAATTTGGTAATTTTTCTTATCTATAGCGTTATAAAACCGTTTTGGTTAACCGTAAAAAATACTTGAAAGTTGACTTGGTAGTACTTTTGTAGTAATTTAAACTGCTTATTAATTTGACACTCTGTATAAAAGCAATTAAAAAAATGTGCGACTGTAATTCGAGAGTTGTGGTGAGGCAATAATTCAAAACCGAAAACCGATAAATCGGAATTTAATCCACTACCGCCGTTACCGAATAAAACCCGGCTTTCCAAAATGATTAATTTCATACCTATACTAAATATTTTGTTAAACTATTTTTGATTATATTGCACATTTGCAAACATTATATTACCTTTATTTTTTACAGTACTGAACAAAATAAAACGTGACAATTTCGTTTAATTCTTTATGTTCTTCTTAAGTGTCTCTTTTACCCTGATTGTTTTCGTTTTTATTTCTTGTAGAAACTAATTGAGCAAGGCACTCTGCGATTATTACGACTTCCACCGTTGCCAGATTTATTCCTCATTTTTTGCATTAAAAAAAATATATGTATTTGAAAATTTAAAAAAATACATTTTTCGTCATCAATAGGCAATTAATTACCCAGATCAAGGTAAATCCCCACAGACTTGGCAACGCTGTGTCGGCCTGGAAAACAATCGATAGAAGGGGTGCGGGGGCGCAAAACGAAACATTTGAACTCTCATCGAATTGCTGATTTCACGTTGGTAAATCGTTGAAAACGTTTTAAAAATTAACAAGTAAAATCCGTTTTACCACCGAAGCATACAAGCAATTTAAAATTTTAAGAATGCGATTTTGTGTCAAATTTAAGGCTTAAAAAAATTTTACTCTTGAGGTTTTTTCGATTTTTGCTTAGTTATTGAAAAAATTAAATAAAATATTGTTTTATAATATTGAAAAATTATTAACCAAACAATCCTATAAAAAACTTAAAAACTCAGTGGCGTACCTACGTAAATATTGCATATAGGTATTAAACGGATATAAAACGAAATATTTGCGATAAGGAATTCTTTCTTTATTATTATGATTAGTTTCATATGAATGCCGGCTGATATGAAAAAAATGCGTCTCGAGTCTCTAAACAACGATACGAGGAATTCTTGAAATAGCGCGAGATAAAAATATGTCAGTTCTCTCTTTAAAATCGTTCTTTATTAGAAACCGTCTGATGGGTTTCTCGTCTTAGGAAAATCCTTAAAATTCATATCGCTTTATTGAAAAATGTTGCATGCTAGACAAGCCGGAATGAAAAATAAAAGTAATAAACATTAAATCTATGTTTTGTATAGTAACTATAGTATGTGGCAGAGATAAATAGATGCTATAAAAGTGTAGCAAGTCAGAATTAATAGGTAATCTACTTTTTTCCTGCAGTACAGTTTTATTTTAAATTCTCCTGAGCCATCTAAAAATTCCTATTTACCAACTCGCTTGATAATGGATTAAAAATGAAAACATTTTACAGCTTTATCGATCATTTTTTTACAGTCTCAACTCTAATATAAAGTTTGACAAGCTTTGTTTAACAAGTTTTTTATGTAGTCTGATCATTCTCGGCGACACAAGCGATTTTAAACAAATATCACGACCATATTTAGTATTGAATAAACCGGCCACTCATTTAAATATTTTGAAATCGCTGTTAAATGTATTAAACCTTATATGAATCATAACTTTGACTGTATAAACATTAGACTGGGCCAATTTTTTGTCTTAGATTTCACAAACCATTAAGTTAAAAAAAATTGACTTTTAGAAAATTGAATGCTCTACAAAAAAGGTTTGATTGAAATTTTCAGTCAGATGAACCGTTTCCTCACAATCATGCCTTAAAAATTAAAAAATATAGTTTTACAATTTGATCTTTTACTTTGGAATTTTGTAATTCATGTGAAAATCAGTACCCGGAAAAAATATTTGTATGGGAAATCAAATGCTCTACAAAAAAAGTCCTCTAACATTTTTAGCTAAATTCACTCCATCAAAAGTTATTCAAGGTTAAAGTTGAAGTCAAAACAAAACTCTTGTTTTTTCCATTGTAGATTTTTTTTTGGGTCAGTTAAAAACTTGAATTATTATTATAGATGATAATCTTTAGGTTATTGATAAAATAACTGGAAAAAAAAATCCGGTGATACCTCTTAATATTGTCGTCCCAAAAAATATTTTCGATATTTCTGGCACAATCTAATAAAAATCACAGCAAAGATTAACATAACATCTGTCAAATTGTGACATTTCATGGCCACCTACCTTTCGCTCTGCTTTCCATTGCAGCCAACCGCAGAAATGTCGAACTTGTAGTTCTTCCTCTTCTCGCAGTTGAGCACCCTTTTGGCTTTCAGCTCTGCGAAACCATCGTCTTTCAAAATAATATCGAAGGGGGCCTCTCCATGGTGTTTGTTGACTATCCTGAACTTGCACACGTCGCCTACTGCCTGAATGGCAGGTGTCACTTCAACGATTGTCTCGTTTTCTTTGACAATGCCATGGTAACCGTTCTCGAGATCGATGTCGAGCTTTGGGACTGCAAGAAAACGTTAAAATTTGACATAAACAAATATTTTTATAACTTTAAACAAAATAACAAAATTAAGGTTCCAGGAATTAAATATGACGTAGTTATCAAAGAAACGTCAACAAAATCATGTTGAACTTTTTTGTTAAATAAACAGTTGAGCATATAAATTTACGATAAAAAATAAAAATGTATATATTCCGAAAGCGAATTTGATCCGGGATATCATTGACATGTGTCAATTTGCAACACTTTGATAAGGGTTTTAAAATGAAATAAAAATATATCGAAAAAAAAAAATATAGAATGGTAAAAAAACATTTCGACGTAGGTATTTTCCCGCGTGCACTTTTAATCGTTCGGCACCTCATTAAGAAGTCCGCGCATGAAACTTTTATCCCCGAAATCGAGTGGTTTACGATAGCTGGAGCGAAATTAAAACATCGACGCGGCTATGAAACGATTCGTTTTTGTTTTTACAGTGCTTGCTTCTCGGATTTGCATGTTTTAATGAAGGGAAATTTGAATGCAATGCCGAAAACATGTCTTGTGTCAAAAAGTCATTAAAATGTTTAGTTGTTGGTAAAATGTGGGTAAAAACTACTAAATGCAAGAAAATTAAACAATTAAATTAATTTGCAATTTTATTTTACCTACTTTTAAAAGCTCATTTATTGAGATTTAGCGTTTTATTTTTACTTGGTCTTTTTGCAAAATAAAAAAGTTCTTTCTTTGTATAAAAATGCAAATTTTGGCTTGTAGCAGCGCCATATTGATTTAACCACCTTTAAAAATTCTAAACACGTTAAGATTTATTATTGCACTACCATGGCCTCCCAGATAACCTAATTTAACAAAAAAATCGATGCTATTTTTAAAACAATTTGGCAACACAGCCATTACGTTCAATTGTTTTTGCACAAAGTTGCAAATTGCATTGCCTGTTTTGTTTTTGACGGTCGCGATTAAATTATAAAGCCATAAATTCGTTTATAGTTTTGCATTGTGCATTGTGAAAAAAAACCGTAAATTCAACCTAAAGCTTTTATATTTTTTCAACCGCTATTCCAAAATAAAACAAAACCAACCGAGGGTATGCTGATTTAGTGGTTAAACGGGAAAAACAAAAGCGAAACGATCTTTTTAATCTCGCTTCTCGTCTGTTTTTTTTTCACGGCTTATTTATTTAAAAGGAACAAAAGGGCCTCCTTTGACCGGCTGCAATCGAATAACGCCAAAAGGATTATGCAGGTATTTAAAGCCGTAACACGTACCTACCTAAGGGTACAAAAAGTTTTTGTACTTATAAATCCAAATTTACACAAAACGCTGACAAATAATGGAATTAATAGAAAAAAGTAGATTTATTTAAAAACTCATCGTTCAAGATATTCATTTGTTCGAGAAATTTAATACCTCGGGCCAAGGCTGACTCGATATGTTGATACGATACGAGTTTTAAGAATAATTTTTCACCTTTTATCGATGATATTTACATATTTCTTCGAAGGAGTGTCTATTCAAGAAAAACAATGTAAAATGCACTTAACAACCCTTGTCTAAGTCAAACAACAACAGGTTTACGTTTACTTTACCTTCTTGGAGTATTTAAGTGTTTTTTTTATGTCAAGAAATATGCCTCTGCTACAAGCCAATTTGCATTTCAATGCTAAGAAAGAACGTTTCTCATTTGGCAAAAAAAGCTAAATTCAGTAAATCTCTTTTAAAAGTAGATAAAAGACAATGCACTTTAAAACTTTTATTCTACCATTCATGTTCTTTTTTACTTTATTTAAATCGATTTCTTCAGGATAAAAGCCAGTTTAGAACACAAAACGGCCGTTCCAGTGGAAAAAAAATTAAACAATCTAGTCTACGTTGAAGTTGATAAAAATCAAGCTACATATGACTTATTTGACATTTTTGTAGGACCTCGTTATCCCTTTTTAAGATCCTAGATAGAAAGAAACGTGGAAAATGCTCTTCACAAAGAAACACTCGAGAATTTCTCCACGTTTGTTATACGATTTCCAGTTTAATTTAAGGATTTACGCGGAATTGCGAATAAAACAAAACATAGTGAAACAATTGACGTTTGCGACAAGAAATTTTAATTAAAATCACGGTTTTAAATCGATGAAATAAAATACCGAGCGGGTTTTGATTGAAAACTACCTGGAGTTTAAAGTTGCACCTGTTTTAAAATAAACAGATGTTAAATGATTGCAATTTTGAAACCCTAGTCATTATTTGACAAATTTAGGGTTTCCACCTCCCCCAATTAATGTGTGTAATTAAAAATGTATTTTTTACAAAACAAATACCAACAAAAACTATAAAAGAAAACAACAAGGTACAAAAGCGAGGATCAATAAAGCACAGATCGATAATTTTGACAGTTCTTCAAGCAACACAAATTGTAATCGTTAAAATCGTGGTTTTTATCAACAATTGTAAAGGTAGAATCTAGAGTGCTTTGCAAAAAGCCAAAAGGGGCCATACAGACGCCATTTTGTCTTTCATTTGTCTACTCGCTACACCTGTGCAATAAAGCCTGCTTGATTTAATCACGCACAATTTGTTGTTGTGTTATGTTACTATAGTATACACGCAGCCTACTATTTGTTTATATTATTGACATAAATCTCGAATGTAGAAAGTATTACATACCTGGAAAGTCCTCGAAACTGTCACAGCGCGAATATCCCAGCAAAAGGGCACAAAATATAACATTCAACCACATTTTACGATCACAATTAGTCTTGTTCGAGAAATAAACACGTTAAAATCGCTTATAATACTCTTTTTTTAATCATCTTCTGGTGCGAACACGAACGTACTTGCAAGGCGGCGTTGAAAAACTGAGCTTTCGACCGGAGTTCGTACGCACTCGCGCAAGTTCGGCACCAGTTCCGAATCTAGACGGCCGGCGTTCAGGGTCGTAACAAAAGACAGGTGAAACGCATGGGCGTTCGTCAAAAAAGGCCCACACGAGTGTAAAGCTTCGTACAGACCTGAACATTGAGCCGAACAACAAGCAGAACAACGAACCGAACGGCAAACAGAACGGCAAATGGCCTTTTTTGATTTCGACGATCCGAACAACAAACGGAACGTTCGTGCTGTTCCCATAAATGCTCGTAGTAAATCTTAGTTAAAGTTTTACTAAAGATGGAAAAAAGTGTAGCAGCAGCAGCTTATATATACATATATTCATTATTCATTATTAAATCAAAAGAAAAAATCGCGAAAAACAAGAAGATGGTGGCAAACCCATTTTTATACACAAAGAAGTACGACAAATTTCAATTTAGTAAGTGAATTAAAGTTTCAAGCTGTGAGTGGGCATTACAAAAATTTTACGAGGATGACACCTACCGACTTTGAGTATTTATTAAACAAAATAGTCCCGAAAATTGAAAAACATAACACTGTCCTAAAAAAAGCAATATCAAGTCAAGATAGATTAGCAGTAACCCTTAAATAAACAAAGTCACTTAAAGGAGGAGACAAATAAACACTTAAATGAGAACAATTCACTGGTCTGTTCGCCGTTTTGTTTTGACCCGTCCAAACCTCCGAACGCATTCGCGAGCATTTCCTTTGATGTCGAAGGAAAAACCGACAAGTGATGGGAACGGGGCGAACCGTTCGCCGAACGGTCAGGATTCGCGAACATGTTCGCAAACGCGTTCGTAGCCCCGTCCAAATTAGTGTTCTGTTTGCCGTTCGGTTCCTTGTTCGGCTTGTTGTTCGGCTCAATGTTCAAGTCTGTACGAGGCTTAAAATTCGGCCTGATCGGATATGAGTTTTTTGTTCTAATTTAAAAAATGTATGGTTTTGTATGACAATTAAAGTTTACCAGAAATATTGGAAATTGCAATGTTTTTTTAAAACTAAAAATAAATACCTATATGGAGGTAAACCGAAAACAAACTGTTAAGAATAGATGTGACTTGATAATTAAAACTTAATTTAGAACAATATAAGGGTTTGTTTAGTAAATTTTTAAAATGTGAGTGATGCTCCATTAATTTATCTACAATATATATTCTTTAATTTTCGTTTAAATCCGACATCAAATAAAAAAATGATTTGGGATAAAAAATTATGTTTTATTTTAAATGCCTCAACACTATTTTTAAATACTAAAAAAATATTTAGGATTTACTAAATTTTGTCCAAGTAAATTATACTTTAGAAACAATTTTTATTAGTAAATGATGTTTAGTTAAAATTTTTGCAAAAATTGATTGCAAATAATATTGTTCGAATTTTTAGTTGGGAAAATTTTAAACCCATTAAATTGTAAATAAAAAAATTACATAATATAAAAAAATCGAAATGAAACACAAAAAATGATTAAAATGCCTTTATTTAACACTTTTAAAATCGATTATACGAAAAAACGATAAATTAACAACGACAAACATAACAAAATACGAGTCAACATTTAATTATAGCTATTTTTTTTAAATTTTAAAACACTCTACAATTATCTACCAAGGGTTAAACATACGTTATTTTTAAACTCCATGACGTTTACCGAAGTGAAAGCTGTCAAAAATTCGTATTAAACGTCACTTTGACGTTTAACAAAGTGACAGTTGTAAAAATTCGTCCATGGCAACTTGATTGTAACTAAGTCTAGGCCTTCTATGTTTTTGAACGACTTTTTCTATTTTATCGGTTTTTACCTAGCTACTGTGGCAGTATTTCATCAACAAATATGGTGATTATTAATAATTATGGGCCAATTAGACCATTTATTGCGGGGCAAACCCTCATCAATTTTTGCCCCTAAACTTGGCATACATCAGTATTTTCCAGTAACCGTTGTGCGCGTCCTCCTGCGATTCCTGTTAGTTTCCCGCTTTGGGTTTCCTGCGCGTCTCCTGCACCGCCGCCACCAGCGACTTGACCGCCTCCTCGTGCCCTGAAAAATTCAAAAACAAAACGCTAACGCCAACTTATTAATCGCGCCATTCGTTTGTTCGCACCTTCAAACGAGTCCGCTTTTTTGAGCGGCATCGGAGCCGGCGCCGACACCTTGTGGCACATGTGATTTCGACGTTTCGGCGGGAAAGTCTCCCAGGACCGCTGCTTCTGAGCGGCCGTCATGTTTTTGCTCGATTTTTTGCTCACCACGACCACGAACGTTTTGTCTTGAGCGTCGAACGACGATCTCCTCGAAGAGGTGCTCAAAGAATCCGCAGAATCGTTCATCGAATAAAAAACGTTGTCTTCGCCATCGCTGTACGGATACACCTTGAAAAATATTCAATTTTCAACTTAAAAAAATCATATCTCGAAAACTAATAAAGATACGATTATGCTGCTTTCACCCCACGATTTGTCATAAAAATATCTTTATTTAATGTCATCTACATTGTCTTCCTAAAATTAAATTATCTGCTTCAAAAAGGGAATTTTCAAAAAAGTGAAAAAAAAAATCAACGAATTTTCGAAAAAAAATATCCCAATCGTTTTTTGATTTTGATCATTTTTTATTATGACATGTGCACCATAAGCCCTCACATTGCTGCCAAATTTCAAGTCGCCATCTATTATAGGTCGAGAGATATTAATGATTTTGTAAAATAAATCGCAGAAGAAGAGGAAGAAAATTTAATATATTATTTTGGCAAATTGATCTAGAAGAACATAGTTTACCTTAACGTATGGTAAAATTCCAAAAAATATTTAATTAAACAGTAGAATACAATTAATTAAAAATTAACTGTATTTTTTTAAATCGTAAAAAAAATAAATTGAGCAGTAGGCCATGTTACTTTGTTTCGATGATTTTTATTTTTTAGTATGTCAAATAACAATCCTTTGCACATCGATTCGTGTTTTTAGTTTGCTTAAACTCTTGTTAGTTTTCTAGAAAAAAAATTACAAAATTTTTTGGAAAAAATCGAAATAATTTTTTTTTATCTAAAGTTGCAGGCCTGAAAAGCCCATATACTATACAGGTTTATGATTGGTCCTCGTACACCTTTCCACCAAATTTTGTCTATCTACGTCGATCCTTTCGACCTGGAACGACGATGTAGTCATAATAAAATAATAAAAATTTCAAACTTGCATCTAGGTAATATAGTTTTTTAATTATTAAATCTATAAAAAAATAAAAAAATGACAGATCCCACTTTAAGGACTTTCAGGTACGTCCGGCAACCCCGCAAATCGCCGATTTATTTATCGCGAACCGTCCAATTTGTTTTGGCGAACAAACTGCAATCTAAACGAAAGATGATCCTTTTTCCGGGTCATTTTCCGCATATCCAGCATTAAAAATCGATTTCCCATTATTAAAAAAATAAATGCAACGTCAGCACGTCGAAGTGCACGTGGCAACGCGGCGTCCTCGTTTCCCGATCGCGTTCTCCTTGTCCACTGGTACTTGTTGTGCATGTCGTTACCAGGTGACGGCAGTATTTTGTTTTACAATTGTTTGACAAATGAAAGGCCTTCTTGACCGATAGGATCGACATATTTCCACAGAGCCGGCCAACATGTAAAAACATGGTTCGTATATAATTTTTTTATTTTGAGGTTGGTGACCTTGAATGTTGTTGATCGCGTAATGGCGCAGTTCAAAGTTTATTTGAAAATATTAATTTGAAGGATTTGGCAACCGTGGTTAAAACAGAAGAGGAAAGCGACGTTGACAACGAATTTGAGGAAGAAATATATTTTGGAGAGTGCGCAATAAAAGAAGAAATTGAAATTCAAGAAAATGATGTTTCAACTGAAATAAAAGAAGAAAATATTGAAGAACAAGTAGATTTATGTAATAAAACTTTTTATCGCGTGTAATTTGTATTATAATTAATTCTTTCTACAGGGTGTTTTAAATGCGGAACGTACGAAAACAGCATGTGCAGAAAATGCGCAAATTTAAACGGGCCCGGTTCGGATTTGCCGGAAAATTTGCGTTTAGGTCCGTCCGGAATTAAAAACGACTTTGGTGTTTTTGCATTGGAAAACTTCGAGAGAAATGTCGTTTTTGGGCCCTTCACTGGCTTGGAGAAGAAAATCAGCGAAAAAACTGGATTGGAAACGTGGAAAAAAAAGGACGGAGTCTTGGTAAAAATGTTTTTTTTTAATCGAATTTCTTTTTTTAATTAACTTCTTATAGGTTACAGCAGAAAACAACCCATGCTACATGAAATACATAAAAAACGTCGAAAACGAAAAAGACCAAAATCTGTTTATCTACCAAGATGGCGACGAAATTTTCTTCAAAACCGTCCGCACGATATTCAAAGGCGAAGAATTGTTCGTACTGTACGACAAAAAAATCCCCATAGTGGTAAAAAACCCGGAAAAACTGGAAAGCTATCAGTGCGAGTTTTGCGATCTCAGCTTAGGCAACCGCAGCAACATGCGGGGGCACCAGCGCACCTGTCGGTGGCGATTCATGAAAGAAAAAGAAGAATGTCGATATTTCCAATGCCAACATTGCAAAACCATCATCATGGACGAGGCCTACTACAAGACCCACATCGCGAGATGCACGCATAGAACTGTGGAAAGGTGAATATCTCGATTCCTATTGGTCGCATATAAAAATGATGTACATGAAAATTAAGGGTCTTGAAATTCTCTACATAAAAGTTTAATTGCGTTTTGTCGTAAAACGAACAGTTTATGAGATAATGTACTTTTTGTATAGAAGCAATTTCACAAAAATCATTTTTCTGTTGCAGCAAAATTCCAAAGAATCCTTTTTACATGAAGTGCGACGATTGCAGCTACAAAACATGGCGTAAGCCAGACCTGGACCGTCACATGTTCAGGAAACACAAAAAAGGCGAAAAAATGCCAACGTTTAAGTGCCCTCATTGCGAGTATTCTTCACCCAGAAAAAACACTTTGAACAGGCATCTCAACACTCACTCAAAAACGAGATTGTTCAAGTGTATTTACTGCGAAAAACGCATTTCCACCGTGAGGAACATGTATAATCACGTCTTGAACAACCACAAGCAAGAGAACGACGAGAAACAGTTGGTACCGATTAAATGCAAAGTTCACACGTGCGAAAAGTGCGGTTACATCACGGTGCAATTGTGCCACTACAAAGAACACGTAAAAATATGCAAGGGCGCGCCAAATTCGTATTTCTGCGACAGATGCGAGTACCGATCGACGAATAAAAAAAATTTAAACAAGCATTTAAAAACGCACGGCAACGACAACAAGGGTTACCTCTGCAACTACTGCGAGTACAAAAGTAATCAAAAGAAGTCGCTGGAAAATCACTTGTTGAACGCGCATCCGGAATACGACCATGCCAAACTGATAACCCACAAAGTACACAGTTGCCAGATGTGCAATTTCACCACCGTGATACAAGTCAACCTCAGCAGGCATATAAACAGTGTACACAAAAAATAACGTTGGAAACGTCAATATAGTTTTGAGGTTATACAAACGTCAAAAAAGTAAAATTCGCCAACTTGTTTTATGTATATTTTACATAAATTTTATGTAATTTTGGTACAAATCAACCTCAGCAGGCATATACACAGTGTACACAAAAAATGACGTTGGCAACAGTGAAACGTATCTTGTAAACGTCAAAATGCAGCTTTGAGGTTATACAAACGTCAAAAAAGGTGTTGTTCTTGGGTGAAACATTCGCCACTTTGTTTAGTGTATATTTTATGATGGAATGTTGTATATTTTATGATGGAATGTTGTATATTTTAAATAAATTTTATGTAATTTCGGTACTAACCTTCGGTTTTTTTTGCCTTTGTTGCATTTTCATCTTGTTTTTGCATTTTGGGCTGCTCGGACTTGATTTTGATTCGTGCACGAGTGCTTTCACGTTTTGCGACGTTGCGTCGGAAATTCTTTGATACTCCGACTCTGAGCGAGATTTTTTGGTTTCACCTGCAAAAAATATTAAATTTTGCACAAAAAAAATCGATAAAATACCTTCGGATTTGCTGCACGCATTGATTTTGTCGCAGCTTTTCCCGATTTTTTTGTACATGATCCTCTGCTTGGCGCCCAACTTTCCGATGGACTCCAAGTCGGTTTTCGACAACTTCCGGTCGTCTTTCGACAACTTCCGGTCGGTTTCGGTATCTGAAAACCTTTTGGTGACAAAAAAAACACCAAACTCGCCAAAAACTCACCAGATTTCGACGTGGGTTGGCTAGACTGCCTTCTGCACATCATATCGTGCAACTTTTCTTTTATGTGCTGCTCCAACCTATCGATGCTGATCTGCTGCGTGCTACCGATTGATTTTTTCGGCTTCATCGGCGTACCTTGCGGTTTTTCGCTCTGACCTACGACGAAATACAGTTAATTAAGTTAATATACAGGGCCCTAATTAGCACTGTACTGCCAGCCGATTTACTTCTCTCGCGTTCTTGGATGTTCGGGCGCACTTTTTCGAGCAGTTGGCCTAGAACGCGGGATCTAGAGCGCGGTATTTTGCCCAGCGCCGCCTCAGACTGCTGCAGGATGCCTGCGAAATGTTAGGTTATGAGAAGAAAACGCGCATTTTTAGAACTGTCTTGGAACATTTTTAACACATTTACAAAAAATCGATTTATCTTCTAAACCAATAGGATTCCTTCAAAATATCAAGAATCAAAATTTGTAAACAATTGAATTTTCTACAAAAATTATTCCCTGACATTTTTTTGATTTTTGCTTGGTTATGAATTTATTTGCGATTTTGTAAGTTGGCCTACCTTAATTTTGACCACATTTACAAAAAATCGATTTATCTTCTAAACCAATACGATTTTCTCGAAATATTAAGAATCTTAATTTGTAGACAACTGAATTATCTACAAAAATTATTTTTTGACATTTTTTCAATTTTTGCTTCATTATGATTTTATTTTCGATTTTGCAAGTTGGCCTACCTAAATTTTGAACACATTTACAAAAAAATCGATTTATCTTCTAAACCAATAGGATTCCCTCAAAATATCAAGAACCAAAATTTGTAGACAACTGAATTCTCTCCAAAAATTATTCCCTGACATTTTTTCTATTTTTGCATCGTTATGAATTTATTTGCGATTTTGTAAGAAATTTCTTAAACCCTAATTTTGAAGAACACATTTTTATAAAATTCCATTTATCTTTTAAACCAATAGGATTTTGACAAAATATCAGGGGTTGAATATTGTAGAAAACTAAATTCTCTACAAAAATCCACCATAAAAAGTTTAAAATGTCATTGGCGTATATATTATTTTTACATTATAAAATATTTTGTAAAAAACATGTTATTTTTCTTAATCCAATGCTAAAGTTGTCCAAAATGTCCCAAAAAAGCATATGATACTTTAAAAACTATTTACAAATGCTTGTAACTGTCATAATTATTACCTATGTGCTGTAATAGCGACGTTAAATGCTCCGCTTGTTCACTGGACGTTTTTTCGCTTTGCTGTTGGGGAGTTAGAGATCTTATATACGGTTCCAATTGCGTGGCAACCTTCAAAAAGGATTAAATAAACCTGAAATTCGATAAAAACCACCATACAACCTGTGTTAAATGCTTTAACTCGTTTCTTAGAGTGTTAACGTCCGTTCTTTGGCAACTGAAAACTTCCTGCTCGATTCTCAGGCGCCATAAAGTTTCCTCCCACGATTCGTCGAATAATTTCGCCATACGATCCAATTCCTGCTGTTGTCTCTCTAAAGTTTGATCAAGGTGTAGACACTCCCTCGATAGCAATTCGTATCTGGTCGTCAACGGTGGAGTCTGTGCTTTACGCAGCACCGAAATATCCCTGTGTAAATCCCCCACTTTTTCTTTGACGGTGTTAAATTTCTGATTCAGCTCTCTAATCATGGATTCAAAGGACCTACAGTGCGATGAAAACGCGGTGTCGCCCTCCAGAAGCTTGTTCTTCATGGAAGTTTGCTGTTTTTTCGTCACGACCGGCGCGGAATCGTATATCTTCTGCGAAGCTGAAAAAAACGCGTCAGCCTTGGATGCATTTCGTTCGAGATAAGTGTTACTACAAGCCGCCAACTCCGATTGGTGCTGACTCACGGCCTGCTGCCCGATCCACGGCTCCAAAGATTGCGCGAACTCCGAACGATAGTTCGTCTTTATCGTCGAAGATTGCAGGGACCTTGAAACGTAAATGTAGGGTTTTTCGTGCGGTAACGTTGGTACAAGAAAACAGGGTGTGTTCTTGCACTAAACTAAACTATTTTAAAGTTTTCCAAGTGTAAGTAAGAATCAACGCCAAAAGAAAAAACAATTAAATAGCAGTAGTTTTTTAGAGTTACTTTCCTTTTGTATTCACAGATTATCTGTGACAGATATATAAATAAAAAAATAATTTAGGTTAATATTTTTGATTGTTTTGTAGCTTGTATTTGTTCCATTTACTTCAATAGATAGTTACTATAAGGAAAATTGTTTTGAATAAACATACATTTCCAAATTTACACAAGCAAAAAATATGTGTATCAGTTTCTAAGGAATTATTGTAAATCGAGTTGTAAATAATATTTACTAAATAGCAAATAAAATAAATAAAAAAAGTGCCGAGAAAAATTTAATTTTAGTTTTTAGGTTTAACCTACATCAAAATATCAAAAAATATTAGAATGTCAAAAATACCTAATAAAATGTAAAAAAAATATAAAAATGTCGAACAATTATTAAAAAGACAAAATGCAAAAAACATCAAAATGTCAAAAATATTAGAATGTCAAAAAGGTCAAAAATACCTAATAAAATGTCAAAAGTATCAAAATGTCAAACAATTATTAAAAAGACAAAATGTCAAAAATATTAGAATGTCAAAAAGGTCAAAAAATATCTAATAAAATGTCAAAAGTATCAAAATGTCAAAAAATATAAAAATGTTGACAATTATTAAAAAGACAAAATGCAAAAAACATCAAAATATCTAAAATATTAGAATGTCAAAGAGGTCAAAAATACCAAATAAAATGTCAAAAGTATCAAAATGTCAAAAAATATAAAAATTTCGAACAATTATTAAAAAGACAAAATGTAAAAAACATCATGTCAAAAATATTAATAGGTATTTTTGGCCTTTTTTACATTCTAATTAGAATGTAAAAAAGGCCAAAAATACCTAATAAAATGTCAAAAGTATCAAAATGTCAAAAAATATAAAAATGTCGAACAATTATTAAAAAGACAAAATGCAAAAAACATCAAAATGTCAAAAATACCTAATAAAATGTCAAGAAATATCAAAATGTCAAACAATTATTAAAAAGTCAAAATGCAAAAAACATCATTTATTTTATTTGGTATTCAGTAAATATTATTTTTTACTTTAAACAATATATTGTACTTAATTAAAAAACCATATAAAATAGTTTATTTCATTAATAATATTTTCTTGAAATGTCAATATTGTGACCTAGATCGTTTTTTAAGTGATCTTCATATTGTTGGACAATTTAATCTAAAAATCGAATAATTTTATAGAACATATGTTATAAGGTTATATAACCTTGTTTTCTTGTGGTTAACATGGTTTTACGTACCTGACAGGCTGACTCAACTGACTCACAGCGCTCAAACGCTCAATAAGCGAAGGACTCAGCTCCAAAAATTGATACTTATTAGCCGCAGCTGTGAATGTGGTGCAAAGCACCAAATGCAGCTGCAAAACCGGCATCACGGTACCTAAAATGCGATTACTTCAAGCGCAAAACATTTTTTTTTTCGATAATATTCACCCAAAACCAAAAGCTGACTCCTGTAAACCCTATCTTTGCTCTCAAACTGCCTTTGAACCTCCATAATCATGGCCGCGTGGGTTTTAGCCATGGCCTCCTGCATTCCCTGGCAGAAAGTGTTGATGGTGTGTTTTTCGGAGTCCATGTTCCGCCTCAATTCGTCCATCAAGTTCTTTAGAGCGATTATAGAGTCCCGCACGGAAGTCTAAAATTAAAATCAAGATATCTCCGTTACTGAACAAGGCAGAAACAAAATTTAAATATCGTTGTGTAGGGGATTTATTCCCCTTAAACTTCCTTAGTAATCATTTTAACGCACTACCAACAGTAAAAAAGTTATACAGGAAAATATGAAGCATTGCGAAAAATGTGAATTATAACTATAGAGTTAAATATCTCAGCAACCAAACATACTATTCAGAAAACAAAAACACCATTTTACAGGGAATTCAATCCTCTAAAACCCTCTGGCGTCATAATAACAAACTACGACCATTAACACCGACAATTAGAATCAAAGTACGGAAGTCTTTAAAATTAAGTACCTATGGAAAAAATTCAATTCATATAATTCTGCTACTGACTGACTTATATTAAATAATCGCGAGGAAAATTAGTGTACAGGAAATAAACACAAACATTAACCAATTGAAATGTTCTAGATCAGTGCAGTTACGAACGGATTTAAATGTGCCAAAAGTATAAATACGATTGGGAGGAAGAGTCTCAACATAGTACAACTTGAGAGTGTATAGTGACAAGTTAACAAAATAAACGGTGAGTGCTTAGTTACATTGTCCTAAAGTGGATTAAATTATCTAACTTTTGATTTAATTATTTTTAAAATTGGGTAAAAAAATAACAAAACTACAGAGGGTCAAAGTTGGTGTTAATTTTAGAGAACTCAAATTGACACGACTTTGTATTTGTAGGTTATCTCGAAAAATTACTACTGGGGCATAACAAGATATTTACATTTTCTTAAAGTGTATGAAATTATCTAACTTTTAATATAAATATTTTTAAAATTGGGTAAAAAATAGGAAAACTACAGACTTCCAAAGTTGCTGTTAAATTAAAGAGAACTCAAATTAACATGACTTTATATTTTGTTGAAAATCTCGAAAAATTAGTACTGGGGCATATCAAGATATTTACATTTTCTCAAAGTGTATGAAATTATCTAACTTTTGATATAAATATTTTTAAAATTGGGTAAAAAATAACGAAACTACAGACCGTCAAAGTTGGTATTAATTTTCCCATTCTTGTAGGTTTAAAATGAAGATTTTCCTTATAATTTCGTCTGTTATGGTGGCCACCCTGGCGGACCAATGCCACTACGGGCAAACGAGTTCGAAACCCCAATCTTTGGTTACTTGTAAATCCATTCCTGTGGATGCCTTGGGCAAAAACATGAAATTGATGGGTAAAACGGGACCCTTCGACTCTGTCCACGATTTGGAACTGACCAATTTCACCGGAAAATTGGACGCAAACTCTCTATCGATGTTTCCAAACTTGCAAAGATTGGTGATACAAGATTCGAACTTCGCCAAACTGGACGCAACAGTGTTTTCCAAGTGCTGCAAGAACCTGAAAAAATTATCCATAAGAAACAACCCGCAAACCGTCATAGAGCCGGCTAGCTTCAAGGACCTAAATCATCTGGAAGAACTGCACATAAACAACAAAATCAACAAGCTTTCGAAAGCTTTCCTGCAAGGAATGCCAGCGATAAAAAAGTTGACGCTGCGCCGCACTAAAATCTCCGAAATCGACGAAAATGCGTTTGAAGACGTAAAAAACCTCGACTCCCTCGAAATCTACGACAACGATTTCCCCTCAGTCAAACCCAAAACTTTCGCACCGCTAAAAGAACTGAAGAAAATCTCGATCCTCGACAACGCCCTGTTAAAAACATTCCCGCTCGACTTACTCAAAGAACAAAAGAAGTTGGAACTCCTAGGCCTTCCCGCCGAAATACTATCGAAACTTGACGCGTCGGCCTTGAAAAAACAAATGCCCACCTTGAAGAAAATCGAGGTCAAAGTCGACGACAAGAAGAAATACGAAACGTTCTTCAAGAAAGTCACAGATCAAGGCATCATCGTCAACTACATTGGGGCCTATTTTTAATTTAAATGTAATTAAATTGTACTGAAACTAATAAATATATATTTGAATGTCTAGATAAAGAATTGTAATCCCTAAACCAGTAGTTCAAATGACCCATTTAGAATTTAATTACTACCAACATTTAAAATGTTATAAATCACAATGTCAAAAATGTGAATTGTAACTTTGGACTTGGATATCTCAGCAACTAAAGATGGCAGGAACAAAAATTAAACATCGTTTTACAGAGAATTTAGTTCTCTAAAACTCTCCCCCAGGTCATTTCTACATCCTACCAACATTAAAAAAATTATAAACAAAAACGTAAACGGCAATTTAAACAATTGTAAAGTAACTTTAGAGATAAATATCTCTGTAACCAATCGTGCTAGAAACAAAACTCAAACGTCAGTTTGTAGACAATTTAGTTCTCTAAAACTCTGTACTCACTTGCAGGTCCATAATGGCGCTTTGGCCGCGTTCCAAGCGTTTTGCCGCTTGGGTGTGAGCCGTGTCGATGTCCAAACACTGGGTTCTTATGTCTGTGGGCAAATCTCTGAAGCAGTTCACGCAGAGCATTAAATTTTGCACCGGGGAGAACATTATGTAAGGTTCTCCGTGTTGTAGACACTAAAAAAAAACGTTTTTATTGGGGTTTTTGGGTGTTTTTTTGCTTACTCTTTTGGGTTCCTTCATGCACTTTGTCATGTGCACGATTTCATGAGTGGAGAACATTTTGGCTCGGTGGGTGTTATCTCTGCACATAATACACAAAGCTTGCCCTGAAAATTATTTAAAAATCGATTTTGTATGCAATAAAACCATAAAATTTATAAAAACGTGCAAAATTATATAACAATAGTCCCTTTTAAAAGGGACTATACCATGCAAAATAATAGCTTTCCATCTAGTTATTTTTTTTGTTACCACAAGTGTTGCAATAATACATGTTCGATCTGTCCCTTTTATCGCAATTAGAACACGGCGGATTTTCGCTGTTTGCGATGTCGATCAGTTGACGCATTAACGCGTCAGGGGGCGGTAGCGTGGAACCATCTTTTAGTAGCGTTGGTTGCCTTTTGAAATGTAAAAAAATATTTATTACACACATGTTCTACCTAGGAACAACACTTTGAACTTGGCAACGTTGGTTTATTGGCGGAAAAAACATTTTTTGTCAAAATGTAAAACAATCTAAATGTCAAAAAGTATCAAAATGCCTATTAAAACATCAAAAAATTTCAAAATGTCGAAAAATTATTAAAAAGTCAAAATGCAAAAAACATCAAAATGTCAAAAATATCAAAATTTGAAAAATACCCATGAAAATGTCAAAATTTTCCAAACTCCCAGAAAAGTCAAAATGCAAAATGTCAAAAAATATTAGAATGTCAAAAATACCTAATAAAATGTCAAAAGTATCAAAAAATATCAAATTGTCGAACAATTATTAGACTAAAAAAAACATCAAAATGTCAAAATATAAAAAATGCCTATTAAAATGCCAAAACGTAAAAAAACAAAAATTTCAAAAAATATCAAAATGTCGAACAAATATTAAAAAGTCAAAATGCAAAATGTGAAAAATACTTAAAATGCCAAAAAAAATTAAAATGTCAAAAAATATAAAATCTTCCCCTCAAGAAAACTGCCAGTAGTTCAAATGGCCCAAAAGTGTCGTCCCAAGGATTTTTACTGTGGAGATCAATAAATAAAAAAACTTGAGGTTAATCATAATTTAATGTATTTACAGAGTTATTTCTACAAACTAATAATAATAAATAATTTCAGTCGTTTTAGAAGCCATTATCGTTGGTGAATTGCATGTTGTGCGACGTTTTCATGTGCTGCTTCACGTAGGATTTGTCGATGAACCTTTTATCGCACACGGTGCAGAAAAACGGTTTTTCCCCCGAGTGCGTGTACAGATGTCGCTGCAACTTGTCTTTGGCGTAATACGATTTCGGACACACGTGACAGAAAAACTTCTTTTCCCGCACGGGAACCTTGATATCGCCTATGTCGTGCTCTTTCTTCATGTGCACCTTCAAGATCCGCTCGTACTTGTAGTCTTTGTCGCAGTGCGCACACTTGTACGCCCGCACGTTCGAGTGCGATATCAAGTGACGCCGCAGCACGAATTTGTCTATGAAAGGTTTCCCGCAGATGTGGCAAACGTGGTTTTTAACGCCCACATGTCGTTTCATGTGAGTGTCAAAGTTGGATTTTATGGGAAAACGTTTGCCGCAAACATTGCACACGTATTTCCACGTACTCTTATCCGCGTGCACTATCAATTTGTGCGACCGAACGTCTTTGTACGTGTTGAAACGCTTTCCGCACGCGTCGCACTCGTTTTCGCGCTTATTTTCGTGCACCATTTCGTGTATTTTCAAGTCGCACTTTGTTATAAACCCCTTCCCGCAATACGAGCACATATGCACCCTGTTACCTTCATGGTAAATCATATGCTTTATTAAGTTGCACGATTTGTAGAATTTTTTACCGCACAACTTGCAAACGTACGGTTTCACGTCTTTTGGGTCCATTTTGTGATATTCCGTGCAATGCACAATAAATTTTGATACCGAATCGTATGTCGCATTATCGCAGTCCTCACAACTGAAAACTGTTTTGCTTTTACGTTTTTTACGCGGTGTTGCAAGTTTTTTTGCCTCTCTTTCCTCCTTAATCACCGTAAGAAGTTCACTTTTGTCATCAACATCAAAATAATCATTGTTACTTGTAGGCATTATATAATCAGCTAAAAAGTGTATACATTACTATTTCACCGTGTTTTGTGTTGTTTACAATGTTACCTAAGCATTTATCATCGCTATCAGACTGAATTTCCTCGTCTTTCACCAATTCTTGCTTTAAAAAATCGATCTGTTCGCTACGAAACGAATCGCCTTTAAAACACAAATTCCTGAACGAAATTACGGAATCTAACTCATCCACGCAACTATCTTTGCATATTTTAAAGTTTTCCTGCCAATTCTAAAACAATTTCACCGTAAAAACCATAAATAATCACTAATTAACAAACTTACAATTTCGGGTACAAAAATCTCCAAGTTCTGCTTGTAAGTTTGATTATTTCGGCCCAATTCCTGCACCGCCACTAACTGAACGGTTTTTCTCACACAAACGCAACAATAATCATAGTTTTGCAGCATTTTTAATTGAAAAAACGCCAAAAAACAATAAACAATCTTGTTGATTGACAGTTGATGCAAGTCGCGCGCTGTATTACCGACTATTAGTACGCCGATCTACCGCACGGTGGCGTTTGGCGCCAAATTCGAAATAAACGTCATATTTTGTTGAACAAATGTAAAGATAAATTATTACCTGCAAAATGGGCATATTAAACGGCGGTCTTGTTCCCTCCCGCGTAGACAGCGCGCGCAAAAAGTGTGGTAGCAATTCAAAATGCAAGGTTCGGTGAAGTAGTCATGACATATTGGGCATAGCAACGGGTTTTTGGGGAAATCAACACCCGTTTCTAAGTTTGGAGGTTCCATGTCTTGATTGCAGTGAGCGCTGGAACAATTGACACAAACAATTGACATACTTTCGGTTTTTAGCAAGAATATGAATAAAAACTATGTGAATTTGTGTAAATTCATATTAGTTTTAATGTTTTCTCACCTTGCAAAGTATATAATTCCGATTTATTATCTTAAAAACACCAAAAACACCCTTGTCCTGGTCACTTTTGTGCTGACCCCGTTTCGACTTGTTTTACATTAATTTAAATCTCCACCCTGTTGGCACACTTCCACAATACGAAAAAACAAACAATAATTCAATATAATTCTATTGACAGGACGACAAACGTAAATTAACACGGTTTTTTAATGCACAAATTTAACAACGAAAATCAATAAATTTTAACTGTCAAGTGCACTGTGCGCCAAATTTAGCAGCGCCATCTATCGCAAATGACCGCAACTATTTTGTGTTTTAATTGGAATAATATTGAAATAAAAAGCATATTTTAACCGAATATTATTTAATTCTTTAGCAATAATATAAACTTTTGCTGTATATTGGTCTTTGTCAACACAATCCCTAAAAATAAACAATTTTAGTAAATTAGCGAGTGGTGCCATCTATCGATCAAAAAATTAACCGAACAGGAAGAAAGGAAGATACCTTTTTTTATGTTTTATTGATAACTCTGTGTTTTATAGGTTATGTTTACGTGACAGCTGTCACTTTGTTATTAATTTGCTTCTTTGTGCATGATGTCCGCCCATTTGCAGGGCGGAAAAGTGAACGTCGGTTTAATTCAAACGTCGGCCAGGAATAATTTGCTGAACTTGCTGGAAAAATGTCCGGGAAAAAAAGCCATCGTGTGGGACCCTTCCCTAGCAGGCCCGGTCGGTCTGGTGGCCCAAAGTTTGGTGCTGAGAGAGCACTCCGTCACCAAAATGTTCCCCTTGAGGTAAAATTTAATAGTGACGTTTTAAACGTCAAGGTGACGTTTTAACGTCAAAGTGACATTATAAACGTCAAAGTGACATATATAGGTTAAAGTGTTTTTATTTTTAGGGAAAGTGCATTGCCTGAGTCGGACGTGGACCACGTTATATTTATATCGAGACCGAAGTTGAATTTAATGGATTATATTTCTCAGAACGTGCATGCAGATTGTAAGACGCGTTTGGGCGCGAAAAAGTCGTATCATTTGTTTTTCGTGCCGAAAAAAAGCTTGCTGTGTATTGAAAGATTAAAGCATAATGGTGTTTTGGGGAATGTTATCCTTATAGAAGAGTTTAAGTGTCATTTTTTTCCATTCGAATCCGATTTGATATCGATGGAGTTGGGTGAAGTTTTTAGGGAGTACACTCTGGAAAACGACCCCACATGCTTGTACCAAACAGCACAGGCCATAATATTCCTTCAAAAGTTGTACGGCCCCATACCTAAAGTATGGGGGAAAGGGGTGGCAGCAAAACAAGTCTGGAATCTTGTGAGCAGACTTCAACGGGAAGACAAGAACGAAAACACGAAAACCTGCATCGATCAAATCCTCCTTATTGATAGAAGCGTCGATTTGATTACTCCTCTTGCGACTCAGCTAACCTACGAAGGTTTGATTGATGAGATATTTGGCATCAAAAATTCCGCAGGTTTGTAACTTTGTTATTAGTGGTGGGATTTTGGTGTTTTATACATTAAAATATTCGGTTTTTGGTGTTTTTCATTTTATTGTTTAATAAGTTTTTGTGTGTTTTTAATATTAAAGAAGTTATTATGGAAAATGTAGTTGTAGCCAATTTTCTATTGTAGGATTTTTGAAAAGTGGCATATCTTTTTTATAGGTTATTCGATTTAGGGGTTTTAAGGCTTATTTTGATGCTTTTTAAGTGCGCTTTAATTTATTCCTATACAGTTTTCCCAACTTTAATAATAAAAAAACTATAATTAAAAATGCGTTGAAAAATTTTTCATGTTTTTGGAAAAATCGTACTTCTGGTTATGGTATTACAACGAAATTTTAATAGAGTGTAAAAAATGTTAACAACATTCTTTAAACCAAATTTCATTAAAATTGCACCAATACTTTCGCTTATATTAACATTCCAAATTTGGTATATTTGAACTACTTTTCTTTAAATTAAATATTTTCGTTACTAAGACGGTTATAAAAAATTGTGAAGAGTTTTAAGACAGTTTATGATATTTTAGATAGTTATGTGACACTTAAATTTATAATTTAAAATGTGTTGAATAATTTTTCATGTTTTTGAAAAAATCGTACTTCTGGTTATGGTATTACAACGAAATTTTATTAGAGTGTAAACAATGTTAAATACAGCGTTCACACCAAATTTCATTAAAATTGCATTAATATTTTCGCCAATATTAACATTCCAAATTTGGTATATTTGAACTACTTTTCTTTAAATTAAATATTTTCCGTACTAAGACGTTTTTAAAAAATTGTAAAGAGTTTTAAGACAGTTTATGATATTTTAGATAGTTATGTGACACTTCATTTTATAATTAAAAATGTGTTGAATAATTGGAAAAATCGTACTTCTGGTTATGGTATTACAACGAAATTTTATTACAGTGTAAACAATGTTAAAAACATTTTTTACACCAAATTTCATTAACATTGCACCAATATATAGTACCTATACTTTCGCCAATATTAACATTCTAAATTTGGTACATTTGAACTACTTTCCTTAAAACCGATTATTTTCGATGTTTTTTCGAGGTGAAAAACTTTTCACTGAAAACATTTTCAGCGTATTTTCCCATCGACAATTTTTTGAGCGTGGAAGAGCGAAGCACGGAATCTTTGAGCGAAGATAAGAAGCAAATAATCCTGAACTCCCAGGACAAGTTATTCGGGGACATCCGCGACAAAAACTTTAACGCAGTGGGAGGCTATCTGTCCAAGCAGGCGAAAGCAATAAGCGCGCAGATGGAAAACAAGCAGGAGCGCACCGTGCAGGAAATGAAGCTTTACGTGCAGCGTCTTCCGCAGATGCTGCAGAAGAAGAAGTCGCTTGCGCATCACACCGCGATCGCAGAGTGCGTTAAAGAGGTGACGGATGGTTACGAGTTTCTTGACACTTTGCAGACAGAGCAGGAGTTTTTGAACTGCATAGAAGTCGATAAACCCTGTCCATACATCGAGGAGTCCATTGCGCAGTGTAAACCGCTCGTCAAAGTTTTGAGGTTAGTGATTTTTAAAAACAAATTAAAGACACTTAGGACATTTTTAGGTGTAATTTATCATGCATTACAGATTGATGTGTCTGCAGTCCATAGCCAGTTCTGGACTCAAACCGAAAATCCTGGAAGCCTACAAAAAGGACTTGGTTCAAGTTTACGGTTTGGAAGCCCTTTTGGCTCTGACGAAACTTGAAAAAGTTGGCCTTTTGAAAACGCAATCTGGCAGCAGACACTACACTGTCTTGAGAAAGGTAATAAAATGTCATTTTAAAAAATTACATTTCTCCACTTTTTTCCAAATTTCACAAAAACCACTGGACCAATCAAAATAATTTAAAAAATATTTAAATCTAGAATCATGAGGCTACAAAACGTATACTGTAATAAAACAAAACACTTTAAAATCACTTTATATACAAAATTATAAAAGTGACATCTCATGATGTTACATTTTTGTTATTATTTTGAAAATTATTCTAGATTTTATAAAAATTCAAAAAACATAAGGAACTCAACTAAACCCACCTTAATTTGGTGTATCACTCAATAAATTTAACCTAAGAATAAAAAAGTTATTAAGAAATGAAAAAAGGCAACTCAAAATTTGAATGAAAAAAACCACGTCTATATTTTTTCAAATATCTCAAAAACCTTTCAAACAATTGAAATAATTCAAAAAACATTTAAATCCAGAAAAATAAGGCTACAAAGTGACATTTTTCCAGGCGATGCGATTGACGATGGAGGACACTTCCGAGATAAACCCGTCGGACATTAGCTACGTGCACAGCGTGTACGCCCCGCTGAGCGTGCGCCTGGTGGAGCAGGTGACCAAAAAAGGGGGCCTCCGTCAGCTGCAGGACGTTCTGGGGCTGCTCCCCGGCCCCACTCTGGACGAGTCGCCGCTGGTTCAGTCGCAAAGCGACCCAGCCAATCCCATCGCCATAAACAACGATCAGACCAGGGTCGTGCTCGTTTTTTTCGTCGGCGGGTGCACCTTCGCAGAGGTGAGTTATTCTACCTAGGAACGACACCGGGTGCATTTGAACTACTGCCAGTTTCCTCGAGCTGAAACTGACAGTAGTTCAAATGCATCGGTGTCGTTCCAAGGTAGAATATTATTAGAAAGATTTGAAATTTTTTGACATTTTAGATATCTGCTTTGAGATTTTTATCTCAACAGGAAGACTGCAACGTGGAGTTTGTGATAGCAACAACAAAGCTGATAAACGGGGAGACGTTTTTGAATTCCATTATAGAATTATAAAATTGTGATATAAGAATAATACAAGATAACTATCAAATTCACTTTAATATGTATAATCAAATATTGTGTAACAAATGTAACAAATAAAATGCTTTTTAACTTAAACTAAGTTGTTTCTGTGCTTTTTTGGCCTCCCCATTGTCATAGGAATAATATCTGTCAACGTAATGTATTACTTCAAAACCAACTTCAACCATAATTAGTACGATTATCATCCACTCCAATCTTATGTGGTGTTTATCGCTTAAATGCCCACTCAACAACTCTATTAAAGCCACACAGTGATTGATTTTCTCATTCATAACCTAAAAATATTTTTTTTATTATGTTGTCAAGAAAGCCATGATCAAAACTCGCCTTGGTTCTTTTGTTTATGCAAAAGTACGATGACACTTGATTGTAGAGATTTTCCAGGTGCTCGTTTTCCCAGTAAAAATCAGGGGTGTCCAGAACGTCAGAGGACAAATTTAAGTAGTGACGTAGCGCGAACAATTCCCCGTGTTTGCGTAAAACCTCCTCCCTGGTCATCTGGATTTTTTTGCCGAACTTCAAGTCTTCCGTCACGCTTTCTATCGTGTCGATGTATTTATCCAGGAAAGCCTCCCAAATGCCCAATTTCACGGACAAAACCATCGCATTGGAAAAAGTGTATTTGTCCAAAGTTATGCTGTCTTTTTCCAGTGAAAGAATAAAGTTTCCGTCTTTATCCAAGCTGCTGGCTTTGCTGCGGAAAAATACACCGTTTTAAACGTCAAAATGACATTTCAAATGTCAAAATGTGAAGCTGACATTTAAACGTCAAAATAATTGATTTTGACATTTAAACGTCAAAATAATTGATTTTGACATTTAAAACGTCAAAAAATAACTTTTTTTTCAAGTGATAGGTACTTATTCATAATTTCACTCTCACTTTGCACCATTTTTTGACATTTAAAACCTGCAATAACAAGGTTTCAAGTGCAGTTGCCATGTTAAGAGAAAATGCCTTATCTGTAATATTTAATATTGTAGGATAAGTCATTTTTGCTTAACAGTGTAGCTGCACTAAGAACCTTGTAGGTAATTCTAATTTTGACATTTTTTGACGTTCTAATATTTTTTGACATTGACATTTAAAACGTCAAAAACTTACCTTTCTCCCAATTGGTACTTATAATTCATAATTTCACTTTCACTTTGCACCATTTTCTCGGAATAGCTGTCCTGCTGGTATTTTTTGAGAAAAGCCAGCAAATTGCTGCTTTCTAAATCTGTAACGTTCCATAGAACAACGCTTCCTTCCTTAAAGAAGAAAATTTCCCTTGATTCATTGTCAACTTTGATTTTGGCAACAGCATGAACAACCTGTCGAAAATAGTGTTAATTTAACCTAATTATGGATATTTTTTCACGGCATACTTCCGTGTTCTCTATTAATCTCGGTTCGTATAAGTCCTGCTTCCTCAAACCCTCTAATAATGCCTCCAAGTTGTACTCTTCACTCGTAGCGTAAGCTACAACGTTAAACAACCCCGAAACATCCTTATCCACTTCAATTGACTTTTTTTTCCTCACCGGCCTCTTTTTTATCTGCATCGAGCTCAAATTATCGTTACTTTGATTCGCGAAATTGTATATTTGCAGATGTTTCACTGTATTATGACGAAATTTCATCACATCATTTTGCAGAAACGACAAACCATTATTTTTAAGGTTAAAATGCACGAAACGGCTTTGATTAAAAAAACCGTAACCTTTTCCAGTGTTAAATAGCGTTATTGTTAACTTTTTAAACAACATTGTGCACAATTCATTGAGGTTATATGTATAAAGTGAGGTTATGTCAAATCGTAGTTCAAATGAACAGCTATAAGAAGAAGACGACGAATTGAGGTTATGTTAATCGTCAAAATAGCAAAATGAGGCTGTTTCAAGCGTTACTCAGGAGAAAAAACATGCCCCACGGTAATATTTACACGGGGAAGCACAGAATCGTGAAGCCGGTGAAGAGGGACGACGTTCAAAAGTTGAGAAACGATTTCGAGATCGAAGAGAAAAACATGTTTTATTTGAGGCATTCTTTTTTGACTTCTGTGAGTTATTGCACGTTTGTGGGGTTTTTGTGTTGTTATAGTGTTAATTTGTTGCAGGAACAATCGTTCGGTCATGCAGCCGCTTTGGGGAAGCACGAAAATCGCATGAAAGAGTTGATTATGAAGAAGAAGGATTTTAAAGATAATGTTACCGTAGAATCGAGGTTAGCGCATTTGAGGGTCAAGGAGTGCTGGGATTAAAGTTGTGAGAGTGTAGAATGTAGAGAATAATAAATTGTTTTGTTAATAAATGTTAGTTTTTTTATACAATGTCAATAATTATATAACGCTTTTTTGTTCTAGGTTACCTACTTTTTTAATAATAATAATAATTATCTTTATTTAGATGGTAGTGATTTTGCACAATGTCTGGTAAATTGGTCAGTTTGCAGAGTATCTAGACATTTCACACATTGTCAGATTTTTTACATTGCCGGTAACATATATATTAATTTAAATAAAAGTAAATTTTAAATAACTGATATTTTGTCAAATAAATCTGTGCGTATTCGAGTAGTACTAAATAAAACATATAAAAAACATTTTCAATGTCAACATGTATGTATATTAAAAAATAAACTTTACATAAAATAAATGCAATAAATAATAGATCAGCTTAATACTGATAAAAACCCATATTAAATACCATATTTTCACAAGTAATACTGAGTTTAATTAAAGCAACAAATGTTAAGCTAAAAAAACTATTTTTGGTGCAATCTCTCGATCCACTTCAACTTATCGTCGCCTTGCAAATCGTCCCGCGTAATTTTCTTCCCCTGCGCCATCATCTCGGCCACCTGCGACACGACGGGATCCATCCCGACAGAGGCGGCTGCGATCACAAGGCCCTCCTTGTTCAAATAAAACGCGACAAACTTGAACCCTTGCACGTCGCCCTGGTAAATAATATCGTCGTAGCGGCCGTGGCCGCAGTAGCGAAGCCCTTTGCCGAAAAGCATCGACCAGAAAAACGGCACCGTCTTCAGCGGCGCGTTTTTCCCCAACATGTTCAACGCGGCGATTTTGCCGTGGTAGTGCGCCAGCGGCCAATGGCCGATCGCGGATTTCTCGTTGCCATGCGACCACACGGGGGCGAACGCTATGTCGCCGCCCACGTAAACGTCGGCAACGTTGCTGCGCAAGTGATCGTCGCAGTCGACGGAACCGTTTTCTTCGAGATTGACGCCGGAGTTTCGCAGGAAATCCGTGTTGAAGTCGCTTCCCGTGCCCATGATTAGAACGTCGCACTTCAGGATTGTTCCGTCGTTCAGTTCCACCGATTCCACGCTGCTGCAGCCGTTGATTTTTTTTATGCCGCTGTTCGGAACGAAGGTTATGCCTGCAAGCGAAAAACGTACTTAGCACAACGCAGTTCGTTTGAACTACCTCTTATCTCAAAAATGTTGCCTACTGTTTGTTTTTTACATTTTGACATTTTTCTGACTTTTTGATGGATAATTTTTCGACATTTTGATGGTTTTTACATTTTCACTTCCTTTGACATTTTTTAATTTGGACAATTGTAAATTTTGACATTTTTATGACATTTTGAAAGTTATTTTTGCAAATTTTGACATTTTGATGTATTTTACTTTTGACATTTTAATATTTTTTGACATTTCTCTCACATTTTTATATTTTTTGACATTTTTAGTTTTTACATTTTTATATTTTTCTGACATTTTAAAATGTATTTTTGCAAATTTTGACATTTTAATATTTTTTGACATTTTCATGTATGTTACATTTTGACTTTTTAATATTTCTTCGACATTTTGATATTTTTTGACATTTTAAAATATTTTCCGCATTTTGATATTTTTTGACATTTTGATGTCTAGTTTTGACATTTTTTTAACATTTTGATATTTTTGTAATTTTTTTTAATTTTGGGATTTTTCTGACATTTTGATATTTTTTTATTTTTTTTTTACATTTTGACATTTTTCTGAAATTTAAATATTTTTGTCATATTTGTTTTTTACATTTTAACATTTTTATATTTTTTCTCATTTTGGTTTTTTACATTTTGACATTTTAATAAATATCTTTTTTTTGGATTGATTTTTTTATGCCGCTGTTTGGAACGAAGGTTATGCCTGCACGCAAAAAACGTATCTAGAACAACGCAGTTCATTTGAACTACCGGTTGAAATGTCGCCAACTGTAAAAAAACTGAAAACAAGCGACAACACTGCCTGTCACATTGGACCTCAAAAGCAACTCACCTTTCTCCTCGTAGAGGGCTCTGACCGCCTGTCCAATACAAGGTCCCAAGTATGGGGAGAAAGGATAATCGACTCTTGCCACGATCGTGATTTTGCCGACTTTTCCGTGACAAAAGTTGGCGGATTCCATGGCGACAAACGACGATCCCAACACGACCATTTCTTTGTTTTCCGCCAACAGGGAGACGGTAAACTTGGCATCGTCGTAATTGCGCAGAGTCAGCACGTTTGCCAGATCCTTGCCGGGGATGTCGACTTTCCTGGGTTTGCAACCCGTTGCCACGAATAGTTTGTCGTAGGCGATTGTTTTTTCGTTGTCCAATGTCACTTTTTTGGAGGTTGTGTCCACCGATTTGGCGGCAACGCCTTTTATCACCTCGATTCCTATAAAAAAATTAATAGTCAACTTGACAAATATTTTTTTATGCAGTATTACCATTTTGCTGATAAAATTTCTCGCTTCTAAGTTGCGCCGTTTCAATATCGAAATCCATGGCTTTGCTCACTTTAACTCTGTCGTAGGGCAAATAATTTTCCTTGCACACCATGGTAATTTTACCCTGGAAACCCTCCTGTCTCAAAACTTCGACGCAATTCGCCCCAGCCGGACCCCCACCAATAATAACCATGCTACAAAAAAAAACATTTTTAGGGTATGAAGAAAAAAATACGCCTTCTTTTATGTGGACATTTTAAAAAGTATTCTTCTAAAATGATGACATTTAAAACTTAAAAATGACATTAAAAACGTCAAAATGAACATTTAAAATGTCAAAATGACATTTAAAGCGTAAAAAATGTATTTTATGATGACAGTTTTTAAATGATTATTTTTAATATGACTTTAAAATACCTAATATTTAAAACCACTTAATTTGGCGTTTTTAATGACATTTAAAACCTAAAAAACGACATTATAAATGTGAAAATGAACATTTAAAACGCCACAATAACATTTAAAGCGTCAAAAATGTTTTATATGATGACAGTTTTTTGATTTACATTTAAAACGTCAAAATGACATTAAAAACGCCAAACATGTTTTTTCTTAAAAGTTTTTTGATGACATTTTTTTAGTTTGACATTAGAAACGCCACAAAATAACATTTTTTTATTTGTCATTATAAATGCATTTTTTATTATTACATCTAAAACGTCAAAATGACATTGAAAACCACAATTTTGACATTGAATACGTCAAAATTGACATTTACAACGTCAAAATGACATTATAAATGCCTTTTTCAATGAAATTTTTTAATGTGACATTTAAAAATGACATTAAAAACCACAACTTTGACATTAGAAACGTCAAAGACGGTTTTTTAATGACATTTCTTAATTTAACATTTTTAATGAAATTTTTTAGTATGACAACTAAAACTTTAAAATTACACCAGAAACTAATGTCAAAATGACATTAAAACACAAAATTTTGACATTAGATAAGTCAAAATTAACATTTAAAACGTCAAAGTGACATTAAACAAATTTTTAATGACTTTTTTAATTTGACATTTAAAATTTAAAAATGACATTGAAAACCACAACTTCGACATTATGAACGTCAAAATTGACATTTAAAACGTCAAAGTGACATTGAAAACGCCAAAAATGTTTTCTTTTTTAATTTTATATTTAAAATTTAAAAATCACATTAAAAGCCACAACTTTGACATTAGAAACGTCAAAATTGACATTTCAAAAAGCCAAAGACAGTTTTTTAATGACATTTTTAGTATGACATCTAAAACTTAAGAAACGTCACAATGACATCTTATGTTTCTTAAACCAACATTTTTGACATTGGACCCGTCAAAATTGACATTTAAAACGTCAAAAGGACTTTAAAATCACCAAAAATGTTTTGTTTAAGAGTTTTTTAATGACATTTAAATCCTAAAAATGACATTTCAAACGACTAAAATGTTTTTTGAGTTTTTTAATGACATTTTTTTAATTTGGCATGTTTAATGACATTTTTAATGACATTTTTTAGTACCTATGGCATCCAAAACTTACAAATTACATTAGAAACGTCAAACTTTCATTGGAAACTACAATTTTGACATTGGATAGGTCAAAATGACATTTAAAACGTCAAAATAACATTAGAAACGTCAAAATGACATTTAGAACGTCAAAATGACATTTAGAACGTCAAAATGACATTTAGAACGTCAAAATGACATTTAGAACGTCAAAATGACAATTAAGACGGCGTTACCTTTGCGTCTGCGCGCACTCCCGCTTCGCCATCGGTTTGACGCGCTTGTGATCGCGCAGTTCCGATTTTTTCGCCCTGATCGCGACGTTGCCGCACCCGTCGACGGTGACCTCGTGACAGGGGATGCTGTCCAGCCCTGGAAAGTCCTCTATATCGCCCGTCCAGATGTTGAAGCACGCCCCGTGCCACTGACAGCGCACGCGCCCCTCGCCCAAGGCGCCGTTCACCAGCGGGGCGCCGTAGTGCGTGCATTTCGGCCCGATGGCCGCGAACTTGCCGTTTTGTTTTATCAACACCACCTGAGATGTTGTAGAAATACGTCAAAAAGTTAATATAAGTGTGCTGTGTTTCATTTTTGTAATGGAACAACACGATTGGACATGATTTTTTCATGGCTTCTAGATTTAAGTGTATTATAACATTGGCAAAAGAGTAGATGCTTATTGTAACAATTTTTGGGTACTATAAGAATCTACTCTTCTGTCAATATTATAATAAGTACATGTTATCTTAATTGTTACCTTTCCTTCATCTACATCAAAAGATTTCATCTGATTTTCCTCCAAATCCGTAGTTTTGCACAAAACTTTTTCCACATATTCATCGTCGTCAATAGGGCCTGAAAAAGCGTTTGTTATTTCGTTTAAACCCGCCGTGGTTAATTTTTGAAAAACGTAGAACAAGCTCAACATTTTGTTGGAGAGGTATTTTTAGAATATAATCAATAAAGCTAACCTAGTTATTTTAAAAATAAGTAGGTAAATGTAAAAAAATATTAATATTTAGAGGTAATCAACTAACATACCTATACAAGCCATTTTTATAAATTGATAATGAATTAAAATTGGGGAATGTATTTACATGATATTATTTGAAGGTTATGTTGACATGCAATGTCAAAATATACGGGGAAGGGTGGAAAGTCCTTGAAAATATTTGGGTGTTTTTTAATTTAAATTTACGTACCTTTGGAATCGTTGATTTTCGACTGAGAACAACCCATGGTATAAAGCAGGTGTTTTTTTACATAAAGTAACGAATTTCTGCTAATTTCTTTATTGTTTTTAACGATGACGAGTTTTGTGGTGGCCACTACAAACTGAGCCAGGAAATTCCAACAACTCATTGCCTTTAATCATTTTACTTTACTGTAATCTTGATATCAAGGTCAATGATATACTTACTTATATTGTTTTGTTGCTTTCACTTTTTCGACGTTTTACTTGTTAGGTTATTTATTTTTATTTGGGTCAAAACTGTTTTCAATGGCAACAAAAGTTTGATACATGGTCAATTTTTCCCGAAAAAATGACCAACTTTTTTTTAATTTTAATCTTAATCTGAGTGTTACTTATCAAACTTAAAAAAAATGGTGTACGTTTCAAGATAAGAAATAAAAAACAATTTAGTGCATGGCAAAATCATTTTATTAGAAAACACTTACACATGGTTCCTCCCACATTTCGAAATAAATAAACAATTCATCATCTCTCCTATTAAAAATACAACAAATAATTTTGCAGAATTATTTAAATTAATCCTAAATTTATCATCATTTTGTTAATGCTTTAAACAACCAATTTCTGTTAATCATTAAATATGTACATATTTTACACAACATAAATATTTAGTACCGAGAACGACACTTTGACAGTTGGATAACCTCAAAATTGAGATGGGTGTCGTTCCAGTTCGACGATAAATCAAAAAGAAATAAGTTGAGTATTACTTCCTTTGTTTAATGGTTTTTGGCGTTAGCGCAGGGAAATAACAATAAATTAATTACAATAAAAAGAAAGGGGTATATAAAGAGGGGGGGTAAAAAGGAAATTAGGCAACGTAGCTGTATTCTTCGCTAGAGTGGGGGGTACGTTCTATGTATTGTTTATCGATCAAGGATTCGATGCATTTTTTTATGAGCTGTACACTGGGGGCGAATGATACCTTTGACTGGGCATAAACCTGAAAAGAATGCAAATTTACGAGATTTTTATAATAAAAAATAACAAAGAAATTTAATAAAATGTTACAGGTAAAAAAATGGTATTTGTAAAATTGACTTCAAATTACTATAACTGAAAAAATATTAATCCCAATTTAATGAAATTGTATACACAGTTAAAGTATACGTTTAAGAAGGCTAAGAAGGAACTTCGTTAAAAAATATTAAAAAATAACGAAGATATTTAATAAAATGTTACACGGTAAAAAATAGTATTTGTAAAATTGACTTCAAATTACTATAACCGAAAAAATATTAATCCTAATTTAATGAAATTGTTAAAGTACACGTTTAAGAAGGCCAAGAAGAAACTTTGTTAAAAAATATTAAAAAATAACAAAGATATTTAATAAAATATAAAAATTGCACCTACCTCTTGTATGAGCAGATTATGCTTGAGCACCTTCCTGGACTTCATAATCCTAACAATGGCTGCTTGCAGATACATTTTCCTGTCTTCTTCCACGGAATTCATGGTCTGTTCGACCTCTTGAGTCGTTTCTTTTTGCACAGCCGCTGTGATGCGAAACTTGGTCCGCTTATTCGAGTAGTCCATGTTCAAGCGCAACGTCACTTCCGGCGTCAAATCCTCGGCATCCGCCAGCAGCAGTTTGCTGTCGATCAGAGAGATGGCGTGACGGTTAAACTGGTCCTGATTCAGCTGCAAAGTTTCCCGGATATCTTTGCACAGAAGCGAGTCGGTGCTCTCGAACAGCAGCAAAATCGCCATTTGAAACGTCTGGACGTTGACGACGTAGGATTTTTTCAGGTGACCTAACCTCAATTCCGCCTGGCAAAGGTGGTGCAGCCACGTCAATTTTCTGCCGTTAAAACCTTGATGGTAGAAAGTCTCGAACTAAAAATTACGAGATAAGCACAGAACTAAAATGTTTGTTTTAGTAAATACCATTTGGACGCTTTTCTCCAATTGGTGAGGCAAAGCGAAAGGGGTTACGACTGCCTGTCCCAAAGGCCACGCGCCGGCCTGTAGAACGTATATGCTGAAATTTATTCCCAAATCTATGCTGGATTTTTTTAAATACGCAGAAAATTTGTTGTTCAAATCTGTACTGACGGACATATCGGTAAACATGCGGTGCAATTTAGATGTGAACTCGTAGCCGCAAGCCTGTTTTAACCTAGAAAAAAGTGACGTCAATTTTTTGTTTTAGAAGATTTCGAAAAATTGTAAAATGAATTTAAAAGAGCGTTATTTTGTCAGTAGACCCTCAAAAAATTGTCAAAATTGATGATAAATTACCAGACTTATATGATCAATACTTTTTTTTGGAAAAACGTCAGTAATTTATTTATTTTAGAAGATATAACAAAATTGTAAAATAAATTTAAAAGAGCGTTATTTTTTCAGTGGACCCTCAAAAAATTGTCAAAATTGATGATAAATTACCAGACTTACATGACAAATATTTTTTTTCGGAAAAAGGTCAGTATACTGATCAGTATATATCAGTATATATAATTATAATTTGTTTGTTTTAGAAGAAATAGAAAAATTGTACAATAAATTTAAAAGAGCGTTATTTTTTCAGTGGACCTTCAAAAAATTGTCAAAATTGTCAAAATTACCAGACTTATATGACCAATATTTTTCCTTTGAAAAAACGTCAGTAATTTTTGTGTTTTAGAAAATTTAGAAAAACAGTAAAAAGCATTGTTTTGACAGTAAAACTTTTTTAAAACATACACAATTTTATTAAAATTTACACTGTAAAAAATAAAATTGAACCCACCTGTTAATCATAGCCTCCTCAGCATCCATGGATTGCGTTTGCTGATGGATCAGCCTCTTGGCCAACATGCGGGAGTAGAATTTCTGAAAAACGTCCTTGTCGTCTATATATTTGAAAATCGTTATACTTTCAGCTAACTTTTCGTCGACTTCCGTCTCGCTAATGCCTTTGCTGGATTTTTTCAGCAAAGTGTCGCAATATTTCGCCAGTAATTCCGGCGATCTGCACGCAGTTTTGCCGTTGTTGGGTCTGTGGTTTATAACCGAGTTGCAGGCTTTATCCAAAGCCCCCATGAAGTTCTGATCGGATTTAAATACGTCCTGTATCAGCTGCTTGTACTTCTTGTAGACGGTCAGTAGGTTCTCCACGAAGTTGATGTGTATATTTTCGCCCTGTAAATTCCCTATGGCGGTTAATCCCTGCGTTTTGATGTGGTCCAGGACGGTGTCCACTAAAACAACCATGGCGTTTTGCACGCTGCGCAGCAAATCGTACATGTTGCTCAAATCCTTTTTGCGCTCGCTCTGCACCATGTTCATGCACTCGCTGTAGAGGAACTGCAGATGTTCGGCGACCATGTGCGTTTCGCACCGGTGCGTCACTTTCGGCAGAGAGCTCGAGTGCAAAAATTTGCGCGCCCTTTTCAATTCCTCGTCGATTTTCGCCTTGACGCGTTCCATGTACAGAGAGACGTCTCTCTCTTGCAACAACCTGTACAGATAGGTTTTAGCTACACCCAGTCGTTACACCGAATAAAATCATCAAAAAGTTGTGCTGTTGAATGTAAACGTCGGGAGAGCACGAAGGTATCACCCAACAATGCATTTTCATCTAGTACACGGTGGTACAAATATAAAAACTGGTGGGACAAAATTTTTAAAATTTGTCAAATTTTAAAATTTGCATTTATAGGTAGGGAAAAGCCGCACAGTAGTTTAAAAAAAATTGTGGGACAAATTTTCAAAATAACAACAAATTTCAAAATTTGTAAAACTTTCATAATATCCAAAACAAAATTGTTAAATTACCTTCCAAAATGCACAATTTTCATTATAACAAAAAATTTCAAAAAACCTAGCCAAAATTTATAAAATCTCCAAAGTTTTCGAAATTTCCAGAATTTGTAACTGTAGGTAGAACAAACCGCACAGTAGTTCAAAATCAAGAGATCAGGGGGGAAATTCGCACAGTAGTATAAATATAAAAATTGGTAGGGCAAATTGTAAAATTACAACAAATTTCGTAAAATTTTCAAAATATCCAAAATTTTCAAATTAACAAAATTTTAAATTTCCAAAACACAATTCTCATTACAAAAACCTACCCAAAATTTCAAAATCTTCAGTTTTCAAAATTTGTAACTGTATGTTCGCACAGTAGTATAAATTTAAAAATTGGTGGGACAAATTTTCAAAATTATAACAAATTTCAAGATTCCTAAAATTTTCAAAATAGGTATCCAAAATTTTCAAATGAACAAAATTTTTAAATTTCCAAAATTCGCAATTCTCATATTTAAAAAACCTACCCAAGATTTTCAAAATCTTCAAAGTTTTCAAATTTTCCAAAATTTGTAACTGAATGTAGTTATAAATCAAAAGATTAGGGGGAAAATTCGCACAGTAGTATAAATATAAAAATTGGTAGGACAAATTTTCAAAATTAAAAAAAATTTCAAAATTCGTAAAATTTTCAAATTAACAAAATTTTTAAATTTCCAAAATTCGCAATTCACATTATTACAAATATTCAAAAAACCTACCCAAAATTTTCAAAATCTTCAGTTTTCAAAATTTCCATAATTTGTAACTGTATGTTCGCACAGTAGTATAAATATAAAAATTGGTGGGACAAATTCTCAAATTTCTAAAACTTTCAAAATTCGTAAAATTTTGAAAATCACAAAAATATCCAAAATTACAACATTCAACAGCACAGCTACTGTACTTTTTGATGATTTCATTTGGAATGAGCTAAGAACTTAAGCTAGAAATAACTGTCTTAAGAATGTCAACTTAAGCAAGATATAACTCTTTGATAAATGTCAAATTAAGCTAGATATAACTCACATTTCGTCATATTGTTTGTAAATTTCTAACCTAAAATCACAAAGACATCACAGGTAGATTGCATAACCACTAAAATATATACAACTCCCTTATTTCATTGAAGAATGTCAACCAAAGCCAGATAAAATAGTCGAACAACGTCAAAAACAAAAACAACTTATTTCCCGGCCTTACCTTGCAGCGTCGCGCTTGAAATGCTCCCCGCTGGCGTCCAAGAAGGGCGCCTCGAAGATCTCCTGGTACAGCTGCAGCTGCGCCTTCTTGCGGTAGCCCTGCACCTCCACGAAGCTGAGTATAGTGCCGCGCACTGCTTCAGTGGGCGCAGCGATCGGGTGCAGGCCCGAATCGGCGCGATCGCGATCTATGGCGTCCAGTAGTAGGCGCACTAGGCGCCCGCCTAGCGGCCCGATCATGCCAGACTGCCACACTTCCAGAGCCAGCTCTCCAATCTCCATTTGTTCGCCTGTTCATTTGTTACAAGTTAGTGCAAAATTAGTGCTGTGGCATATCAAGATATTTACATTTTCTCAAAGAGTATGAAATTATCTAACTTTTGATATCAATATTTTTTAAAATTGGGTCAAAAATAACAACACTACATACTTCCAAAGTTGCTGTTAATTTGAAGACAACTCAAATTGACACGACTCTATATTTTGTGGATTATCTCGAAGAATTACCACTGGGGCATAACAAGATATTTACATTTTCTTAAAGTGTAGGAAATTATCTAACTTTTGATATAAATATTTTTAAAATTCGGTCAAAAATAACAAAACTACAGACTTCCAAAGTTGCTGTTAATTTTAAAAGAACTCAAAATGTCACGACTCTATATTTTGTTGATAATCTTGAAAAATTAGTAATAAATTTACATTTTCTCAAAGTGTATGAAATTATCTAACTTTTGATATAAATATTTTTAAAATTGGGTAAAAAATAAAAACACTACAGACTTCCAAAGTTGCTGTTAATTTGAATTGACACGACTCTATATTTTGTGGATTATCTCGAAAAATTACCACTGGGGCATAACAAGATATTTACAACTTCTTAAAGTGTAGGAAATTATCTAACTTTTGATATAAATATTTTTAAAATTGGGTAAAAAATAACAACACTACAGACTTCCAAAGTTGCTGTTAAATTGAAGAAAACTCAAATTAACATGACTTTATATTTTGTTAAAAATCTCGAAAAATTAGTACTGGGGCATAACAAGATATTTACATTTTCTCAAAGTGTATGAAATTATTAAAATTTTGATATAAATATTTTTAAAATTGGGTAAAAAATAACAAAACTACAGACTCTAAAATTCTACTTTCTTATTCAATAGGTATACACAATTAATTTATACATTATTTAAATTTGTCCAAAAAATTGACTAAACCTATCATTGTTTATTGTTTTTTTTGCATTTGTGTGACCTACAATTCCACCAAATTAAAATTTTACATTGTAAATGGTACTTTGCTATTTCAAGGTTACGATTTTTGACGTTTCACAATAGAAATGTCACTTTGACAATAAAGCCCAAGTTACACTATATTGAGGTTATGTTTTTTAATAGTTAACTTACCTCCACTGTTTTCTGATGATCCATAAATAATCTCTGCATCTGATAATTTTTGGGTTCGGATGTGCTGCTGATTCAAGTAGAGATACAAACTGTGCAGATACTGGCTGCCGACTGAATATTGAGACCAGTAGTGGAAGTAGTTCCGTATGAGGTTGTTGTCTCCTTCTTCCTGCACTTTTTCCAGCAACTTTGCCACGTGATCCACAAGGTACTGTTTTGTTTCTGCATAGAGCCTATCGGCCATAGGTTCCGGATGGGCAACACAAAGAGAGTAGACATCGGAGAACCTGTCATTCCATACAGTTCGCGCCACATGATCCAAAGTGATGACGCCTTTTATTGTGTCCTTTATAGCCCCCCAGGTGGAGGGGAAATCCACGAAACGAGGCTTCAAAGACATCCTTTTTTCCGCAATTGTCAATTTTCAACGCACTCCACTGACAGTGACAAGCGACTTTTTTCTAAAAATAAACAACGAAAACGCTCTCTACCACGTTCAATGTTGTTGGTCTATTATTTCTTTTGTTTTTCATGCAGAAAAACGCAAAATCTAGCCACCCACCTGGCCTTGACTTCGATCCAGGAAAATCAGTTTTTCTTTGACATTTTCACTTCGCAATTTACAACCCAAATAAAACCACGAAAATTCAATCAAATACTCTGAAACGAACACACGAAATTTCTTCGTTGCGACGTCGAAAATTTCCACCATACATGCATCAGCTGTCGTTTGTGTGACCTTTTTTATTCCATAAAATTATTCACTGCAAATATGTCGACCCCGATCTGCATTGAACGCTTAACAACGCAACTTTATTCCAGGAAAAAACAACAATACATCAAAAATCGAAAATGCAATTCAATAATATATAATTTTCGTTAAAAATGCAAATTTACGCGTGGCGCCATCTCACGGCCAGTATATGAACTAAAATATGTCAAACATTACTCGTTTCAAAACCAAACAATTCCATTTTTATTATTAATTTAATAACAAGATAAAACACCGTAAAAGGTTTTTGTGTTTAAAAATATTACATAGGTAGAATGTAGGTTATTTAAAACATTCTGTCAAATGTAGAACGCCATCTATATGTACATAGCCAAACTAAAGGTTTATCTCAATAAATATTAATTATCATTGTTTTTATTTACTATTTTTATTATTGCGGTGTCTATTTGGTTAATCTGAGCGATAAAAAGAATGTTAAAACGATATTTCGGTCCATTAGTCATTATTAAATCTTGTTGAGTGGGAGATAAAATCGATTTTCTTCACTTCACTTTTACCTGTTGATTTTGTGTATTATATGAGTTCGGAATCTCTTCTAGCGCAAGAAGGCCGTGATAATTTTGATTTTGAAAGGTAATTGCGTTAAAAATCATTCAACTGTTTGAGTTTGTTGCTAATGTCGCTTGATTTTGAGGTGGCTTTCCTTGTTTCTGTAACATATGTTTTAATATAATTTTTAGGAATTTTGTAAAGGCCGTATTACAGCCGGCAATTCTTTCGGCAATTGCAATGAAACTTGCCATAGGCATGCGCGGTTGAGACCTTTCGACGAATCTCTTGCAATTGCCGAAAATCGGTCCGGATGGATTTTTATTGCCGTTTTATGGCAATTCTGGGGTGAAATCTGGTAACTTTTATGTTACCAACCCTACTACAAATTCCCTAGATAGACTCTTCTTGTTCGCTTGTTTTGTTTTGTCGTTATTTGTTTATGATTGGCATTGTGTTCAAAGTTTTGTGTTTTTTAATCATTAATAATCTGTGGTTAGTTAAATATGCCGTGTAGCAAGAGGTAGGTTTAAATTTATTACATTATAATAAATATTACGAATCTAATAAATTAACCTCTTTCAGTACTTATGACTGGAACAGGGAGGACACCACCCTACTTATACAATTGTATGAGCAGTATCCATGTCTGTATTTAACAACTTATAAAGGGTACCATGACAGAAACCAGAGAAGTAAGGCTTTTCAAGCAATAGCTGAAGAATTTAACAAAAAAAAACTCTCATCAAATGAGTTAACAGGTGAAATTATTAAAAAGAAAATCCATGGTATAAGAACCCAGTTTTTGTCTGAAATTTCAAAAATAAAAAAAAGTGAGGTATCAGGGGCTTCGCATGACGATGTATATACACCCAAATTATGGTGTTTCGACCAGTTAGTTTTTTTGCAGCAGGGATCGGAGGTGGTCAGCAGTGGAGAGTCGAATTTAATGCTTCCTTCAAATATATGCACTACATCAATACTTGAAGATGAGGTGAGTGTGAAATTTTATTTATGGCGTACAAATTACAAATAATTACAATAACTTTGGTTTATTTTAGCTCGATTCTGAAATAATATACGAGGGAGATGTGGAAGATTTGAGGGATAATGTTTTTTCACCGACAAATGTTTTGTCTCAACCCTTACCTTCAGGATCCAGTTCCCAAAGTTCCTTTACTCCACAAACTGGCCGGGGCAAAAAAAGGAAACAATCCAGGGAATCAGAAGAACAACTGTCAGGACTATTTTCGACTGCTGTATCAGCATTGGAAGGGCTAAACAAGGCTGAAACAACTGGCCTAAAACATTTGGCTTTTGCAAGGTATATTACTTCTTGACATACTGACTAATTCAAGAGTTATTGTAACTTTTGCATATTCATTTATTTCATTTGTAATTTATTTCAGATATGTGGCAGAAGAAATGGAGAAAATTGATGATGAAGGCCTTTTGGATGATTTAAAGGAGTCAATCATGATGGCAATTTTTACTACAAAAAGAAAGTGTAGAGACAGGCAAAATTAGTAATAAATATAATTTTATATACTTAAATATATTTTTATAATTTCATTGCCTACATTTATTTATAACATATCCTACAAAATGAAAGTGAAGGGGAAAATAAAATAGATAATAAGACATTTTTAAAATAATTTACAATACATCGTCAAGTTGTTACAAAGGGGCAAATCTCATATTTTAATTATTAACCTTTGCTTAAAAATTGGACATCTTAATCATAATATAATTATTTGATATATTATGATTTTGATGTCTGATTTTAAAGCAAAAGTTTAATATTTTATAGGATAATAAATATTTTTTCTTCAAAATATTAAACCATTGCTTTAAAATCAGACATAATCATAATAATATTATACTATAATAATATATTAGGTATACTTACTATAATTTGGAGTCTAATTTTAAAATAAAAAAAAAATAACTAGGTATTAAAATATTGAATGGTAAAATATGAGATACCCTGTTGTAATAATTGGGTTGAAATATATTTTTATTATTAAATTAATGTATACATAATAATACTATATTATATCCTAACTAAATTAAATCATCCTGCCAAGGAACACTACCACACCCATTAAAATATTCTTTAAATTCTTCCCTTATAGCAAGGGCTTCATTTCTAGGCCTACCACTATTTTGCCTACTTAGGCCAAAAATAAACCTATATCTTTTATCAATCTCCTCTTCGGGATGTTGTCCTAAATATAAAGTTTTATTTTCTGTGGTCAAAAAATTATGAAGTACGCAGCATGTTTGGGTTATTACTTTTGCCTTTATAGGTTTTAATGGAATTGTATTCAATAAAACTCTGAAACGGTTAGCCAATATCCCAAAAGAGTTTTCAACCACACGACGAGCTCGACTTAGCCTGTAATTGAAAATTCTTTGCTCTCTTGTCATGTTCTTTAAAGGATATGGTTTTAAAATATAGGTAGAGAGACCAAAAGCAGCATCAGTTAGTATGACATGTGGTACTGATTTTACTCTTCCTGGTAGTGGTTTGTTTTCAGGTACATTTAATTTATTTGTCTCGAGAGCTTTTGCCAAATCACTGTTCCAAAAGACCCCACCATCAGACACTCTTCCATTCATTCCAACATTTATGTAGCTAAATTTATAGGTTGCATCCACAAGCGCTAGTAAAACTATGCTATGCGTTTTTTTATAGTTGAAAAAAGCAGAGCCTTGACCTGTTGGTGCAGTTATACCAACATGTTTTCCATCCATTGCACCTATAACATTCGGTATATTCCACAAATTTTTAAAATTTCTTTCAATTTCCAACCATTCGGCTGCAGTTGTTGGGCACTAAAATAATACAAATAATGTAAATTTAAGTTATAGTTTTATATTTTTAGGAAAACATTAGGAATTCCCACATTATATTAGTTACATACCTTCAAATATTCACTTTTTAATTCATCATAAATGGCCTGGCACACTATCGGTATAAACAAGGAAATTGTGGATTCAGATATTCGGTAGTTGTACATTAAACTACGAAAACTTTCCCCTGTAGCAAGATATCTCAATGTTATAATTAATTTATATTCTGCTGAAATAGTTTCACGATAAATACTTTGCTTGCTTATTTTTTTATTAATTTTGGATAAAAGTTTTTGAAAAGTATTGTTATCCATTCTTAAATAATTCCTATATTTTTCGACATCAGTGTTTAATAATTCTTTTGCTAAATTTATGTTTCCTCTGCTCCTATCTAACCAAGGCCTCACCCACCACCTTCTTGGCCTTCTTTCAGACGTCTCTCTCGACAAGAGAGCAGCGGTAGCGAGCATAATACAAATAACTGCAGCTTTTTGCTTTTTTTTAGTATCCATTTCATTCATTTTTAAATACACAAATAAACACAATATAACCTTATAAAATCGTAAACACAATGTTAACATAACCTTACAAAATCGTATATTTTTCTTGGGTTGGTAGCACGGTAATAAACAGCAAGTTTTCTTGCCATTGCCGGCTGTAAAACAACATGCAAGACGGCCTTGAAAACTAGATGGCAAGAAGAATTGCTGCAAGAAAAATTGCTGCAAGAAGAATTGCCGGCTGTAATACGGCTTTAAGAAAAAATCGTACAATGGAGGCGCGTGCAGAGCACCAAAAAACCAAGTTGTTTAAGTCGTTATACGCTTTTGCGACTTCCATGGGTCTCGGAACTCTAACCTTAATATTATTTTGGATTTTACACTATCGTAACGGTTTTGCATGGCAATCAGATCCGAATACGCAATTTAACTGGCATCCATTCCTAATGGCTTTAGGCATGTTCTTTCTTTACTCACAATGTAAGTTTTACAAAAAAATCATATATTTTTTATGAAAAAAAAATCTTTTTTTAGCAATTTTATCCTACCGTACATTTCGCTACGTTGCCAAACGTCGCCTGAAACTCCTACACGCCGGCATTCACTTGTTCGCTTTCGTATTCTCGGTGATCGGACTCAAAGCCGCTTTCGATTCCCACAATTTAAAAAACCCGCCAGTCCCAAACCTCTACACCATGCACTCTTGGATAGGATTGGCCACTGTCATAATTTTCAGCGCGCAGGTACGAAAGTAATCGGAACGACGCTTAATTGTAGTTCAAATGTCTCCACTGTGAGTCATTTGAACTACGACTACTGTCAACTTTGACAGATAACCTGGAAACGTCAAAATAAAGTGTTGTTCTTAGATGATTTTTATTTTTAGTATGTTTACGGGTTCGTAAGTTTTTTGTACCCGGGTTTGTCGCAATCTTACAGGCGCATGTTCATGCCGGCTCATGTTGCCGTGGGAACGGGTGGTTTTGTCATGGCAACCATCTCGGTTTTGACCGGTTTAACCGAAAAAACCGTGTGGACTGTGTAAGTTGATGGTAAATGCGTTTTTTAAGCGTTTTTAATATTTTTTTTTAGGAAGGATTACTCAGATTATTCCTCTGAAGGGTTGATGTGTAATTTTATAGCGATTTTTGCGGTTTTTTATGCTTTAATCGTTTTATATATGGTTAATGATGATGACTATAAACGTACTCCACTACCTGAAGACGAAATGGTTCTTTCCACGACAAATTAATATATTTATTTTGTGTTTATTTTGGTGCTAAATGTAATTTTGCCAAAGTTGAACCATATATAACCATAACTATTTGTTTAATTTGCACATGATATATTTTTGGGTGAATTTATGTGATTTTGTTGTTTATACTGTAGAAAATATACGATTTATTTAGAAAGTACAATATTTACAAGTTATTTTTAATTTTAAACCCATTATGCTATGTTGTCTGTTAATTTGACAAGTTCAGGCATATTTTGCAACCTTTCGTACAAATTAGCGCAACTTTGCAACTCCATCTCCTGCAAGCTCTGAGTTTTAAGTGGAATAAACTCTACAGAAGCACTGGTTACTTTGTATTTAAAGTTTTCCAACTCCGTTACCACAGAATTCAAATTCGACTTTCCGCACAGAAAAAGTAGAGTTTTATCATCGATTCTCACATCCTCAGCCCCACTTTCAATCGCATGATCAGTGGCGCTCTCAATTATCATTTCCTCGGCTTTTCCCAAAAGATTTTCCGGGATTTCAGCCTCAATTATTCCTTTTTCTTCGAATATGTGCATTCCACCCCCATCACCGAATTTAGCCCTAAAATATGCAATAAAATCATTAACAGTATATATACATAAAAATATTTGCATTCATACCCAGTTTTCTTCAAACTTGTTGCTATTGATTGCTTTAATTGGTTCAGATTACTTGTAAACACTTCGCACAATATTATACAACTTCCAGGGCCTCTAAAAACGTGTAATTAGCAAGAATAATATAAAAAACGTGTAAATATTACTTAATTTCTATTAAATGCGACTTTGCCCCGCTTTTATCCGCCTGGGAACTCTTCAAAATACTAGCAATTGTAGCTTGTGGCATATTCGCCCGTTTAGCTTGTTCTATGATTTGAGCCAGCTTCAAATTGGATTTAGGATCCGTCGATCCACCCTCTACAATATATACAACAATTATCGCCCATATTTATCACCAAAATACCGAAATCTAACCAGCTACAGCAACTTTCATATGGCGTCCTATTTTCCCGAATGTTTGCGACTTTTCCGCGTCCTTCAGACCTTTTATGTGCTTTATATTTTGCCATTTCGAGTGCCCAGCGTTTCTGCATTGAATCACCAAAAAATTGCACGCATTTTGACACAGAAAGTGCCCTTTTTTGCACAAATTCCCAATCATGTTGACGTTTAAAAGTGAGGTTATAGAGGTTACGTAAACGTCAGAAAGTTAGGTTAGCTTTATGTCAAATTACAATTCAAATGAAATACAAGGCTTTTTAACATGTTTTATTAATAAAAAAAGTACAAACTATCTATGTTTCCATGTCTTTCGGGTTCTCTGGTACTACTTTTGCCACTTTGCGGGGTTCTTTAACAAATGTTTTCGTACACTGCATTTCAGTCCACGATATTGGCACTAAGGGGTGTCCATGTTCAGAATGGGCGATTACCACCCCTAATTCGTTTTCTGCCGTCGATAATTGATAGGTGTGTGCCTCTGTTATGGGTAACTATAACATGAGACAAATACTATTAAAAATGTTTATTTTATTGACTAAAACTTACAATTCTGGCTAAAATAATGTCTCCAGGTCTGAAACTTTTGTATATTTCAACTCTGTCCTTTTCTGTGGCCCTCACATCTTCTCTACGCAGAACGCCTCTAAAATGCCTTCGTAAAACAGTATCGCCAACACATTTTATAAAGCACTTGCAAAATTGTTGTGTTATTATGTAAACCTGAGCCGTCACTATGTCTCCTTGCACGGGAACTATAGTTTGTTCGCCTTTTGTATGTACTTCAACAATTTGTACACCATCTTTTTCAACAATATCCACCGTACCAGCTAACATGGAATAAATATAACCCTGTCTTTCGTAAGTACCCTGTCCAGAAGTGTGAGTTTTATCACTTAGACACAACCTCTGCCCCGGTAGACACAATAAAGGTTCGTTTTTCATTATTAAATGGCTAATAATTCGTCAAAATTCAATAAAAACACCAGTCACTTTTGAGGTTAAGATACATAACCTTTATCAGAGACCTTTATTTTTGAAATGCGATAAGGTAGGAAACTTTTGAGTTGGGAAAAAATATTGATCTTATTTTAAGCGCCATCTATCGAATTTTTTTTTAATGTGTTGTATTTTTTCCAGAGATATATACAGGGTGTCCGGGAAAAGGAAGTCAATCCGTTAACCATATATTCTTTGAGTTAAAACAATAAGACTTTCATAATACCATTTTTTAATTTAGAGCTTCATGTTCGATATACAGGGCGACAAAGTTTGAAATTTAAAACTGATTTTTTTTAATAATTCGAGTAATTGATAAGATATTAAGTTCAAATTCGGTACACTACTTCAACATAAATAGTTACATGTTTTGAGGCCAACAAAACAAAAAAACAATTGTCAAATAATCAAAATAGGGGGGGTCCAGTACTCACCGACTCCCCCTACTTTTAGTACGTGCGCCAATGACTTCCAAACGGGATTTTTTCAGGTAATCATTTATTGTTAAAAAAAATTTGTCTCTTATAAAATTTTGATAAAATGATTTGTTTTAGAGATAATTTGTAAAGTATGGGTCAGTCCATATCAAATCAACCAAAGGTTCTTCCCCCCCATCTTTGATTTTAATAATTTTTGGTAAATTTGTTTACCTCACTAAAAAAACTCAAAAATCCCATATATGAATTTTTTTCGATGGGTGGTTTTTGTTTTATTGATTTTTGAAAATCAAAAAATTCCGATAAATTTGGGGTTTGCAAGTACTTACAAAAATAGCGATATCTCGTAAACTATTAAAAGTAGAAAGGTGCACTCATGAGTGATGGCTTATTTTAAAGGCCTATTAGAGACCTTTTTTATGATATATAACATGACCTAAATTTCAAAAAAAAAATTAAATTTTAAAAATTTGATATGGATTGTGGGTTAAACCAAAGAAGTTCTTTGGGTTATACTAAATGAATAATATACCTAGATACACTATTTAAAAAATCATTAAAAATATTAAGTAAAATATATTTAAAATATTATGCCATAACTTAGAACAGACTGATGAGCAAATAAACATTTTTAAACCCAATACACATCGAAAATATTGCATTTAAACGGTTAGTCTGTTTTAGCGCCAACTTTATTAAGTTGGCATCAACTTTAGTTCTCACGGTTGGCCACATTGGCTGAAAATAATCGACATTTCGGTGTAAATTGACAATTAACGCCAAAAATGCTGAAATTGTGGCAAAATTAAGTGTTTTTTAGCTTGTAAACCACCGCAGAGATTTCAAATAGGTTGCGTGCCGTTGATTGTAAACTTTGTATGAGTTTTCCAGACGTTAAAAGGCAAATAAAATGGATGCGAAAAGGAAATTATCGTAAGTATTTTTCACCAATATGTGTTAAAGGAGTTTTCTTTTGATTTATGCATGTAATATTTATGTTAATACGGGCGATAGATTCGTTTTCATATATTTTAATTGTATGTTAATTTTTTGTTGTAATTTTGATAAGCGAGATTTTTATCTATACTTTACTATTACTAATAGGCATAAAATGTAATGTTTATGGGATATTGTAAAGTAGGTATACAAGGTAAACTTTGTGAATGTCTGAATTTACTCAATATTATATAAATAGAAGTTTATTTTAAAGAATACCACTTGAAAAGTATAAATATAAGAATACATTTATACCTATAAAGTTTAAACATTATAATACAAAACATGTACCCTGTAGGTATGTATATCATATAGCTTTCTAATGTAATTAATGTTTAAAATGGGCCTTATTTTTAAAAATGAAAAACTTCTGTATATCATAGTAACAAAATATATAAAAATATCAAAAATCAATAAGTAATTAAATTTGGCAGTAGAAAATTAAAAAAAAGCCTGCAGGCTTTGCCATGGCAAAAGTTTAAAATTGTATAAAATATTGTAAATTTTGACACAAAAATAAAAAATGTTTTAAAAAATCATAGGAAGTAAAAATTAAAAATGAAATGATGGGGTTTTTTAAGGTATTATGCGAAATAATAAAAAACCAAATATGTAAATGAAATATACAGCGTCAATTTACCAGTTAGGCAAACCGCTGTACAAACGTCAGACGATTTTTTTTCGAGTATAACAGGGTTGCCAACTCTACCAACTTTTCGGTAGATCTACCTACTTTTAGTGTCTTTTTCAAATGCGTTGTGTTTTTTTATACTTTTCCATCTTACCGAATTTCATACATTATATAGCGCGTTACTGTAACGCCCTTTATTATCTATTACATTTATCAACAAAAGTGCTAAGCAACCTATATAGGTATATACCCACTGAAGAACATTATAAATTATTCAATCAATATTTTTACACTCTTTCCATTTTCGATGTTTTGAAGATGTTTTTGGTTCTAATCTAATTAATTATAAATAGGCACTTGGGTTGTATACTATTAAAATACGATATGGTCTACCACAAAATTTGATAATTCCGGATTATAAATATTTAACTAATTAATTTACATATTTATAATTTGATAATTATCATAATCCGTTCTTCAATATTTGAATTTTTTGTATTCTTATTTTAAATAATATAAACATAAACTGATCGAAAAAAGTTAAGCATATTTTTGAACAAAGTTGAAATCAAACTGGATACCGACTGATACCTAAAATGCGTTTTTTCGACTTCGTTCTTTTTTGTCTAAGATTCTTTCATTTTTACGTTTTTATTACCAAATATTAAAATAAAGTATACAGGGCGTATAAAATTGTATCGTTAAATTTATGTTTTGGTCAAAATATCTTAACCCTTTTGCTCACGAATTATTTATAAAACATAAAACAATATAATTATTTGCTATTTTTTGGTACGTCAAAATTTTTTTTTTCTCCGCTAGTTTCTTTTTTACAAGGTGTGCTAAAATTAGGACATGAGAATGTGAGAAAATGGATAAAAATTCAGTCAAGTGGATAAAAAAATTGTAGAAAACGATGTACTAAATTTAGTACGCCATAAGCGAAAGGGTTAATATGCTTAACTTTATTCGATTAGTTTATTTTGGGTTGACAACACTAGTTTACAAAAAACCGTTAAATATTTGTTGATTTACGAATTTTTACTGGTTACATCACATTCGACTATCTCTGTAAATCCTGATTTATAGATTGTCTTCCTTCCTTTCTCCCGTTAAAGATGAACAATACGAACAATACGTAGTGCCGTTTATAGATTCCCGTACGGTATTGTACTGTTCATCTTCTACGGGAGGAAGGAAGGTAATCTATAAATCAGGCTTAAAGGTAAAAAACGTAAAAACTGTGTGCAGGACTTCAGGAGACAGCCTGTATCAGATCTTAGCGCTTCCTAAGACGGCCACAGGCGACGAGATAAAAAAAACTTACCGCCGTCTGGCGCTAAAGTACCATCCGGACAAAAATCCCAACAATCCCGAGGCCTCGGACAAGTTCAAGGAGGTAAACCGAGCTCACACGATTCTGTCCGACGAGACCAAACGGAATATTTACGACAACTACGGATCCCTGGGGCTCTACATAGCCGAGCAGTTCGGCGAAGAAAACGTCAATGCCTATTTTGTCGTCACTTCCACCTGGTGCAAGGTAGGCGTCATTTATGACATTTGACAGTTTTACGTTTAAACGTTTTGACAGTAACTTTGGATTTGACGTTTTTACATGTCTAAAATCGCCCAAAGGAGTAAACACATATAAAATAACTATTGTTATTTATACAGGGTGTCCTGAAATTAGTGCACCATACTTTAACAGCAGATTCTACGTGCAAAAATAAGAAAAAAGTCCCTATAAATATAGGTCGAGAAATGCCTCCTAAGGGAGCTACAGCCCCCGAAAAGGGAGCCCCTGAAGATGGTTTTTATCTAATATAAATAAAAAAGTAAAAACACCCTGTCACTTACTACATGAAACTGTCACCTGTCTTAAATTATTCTATTTTTTTCTAAACATGGCAGCCGTATTCCAAGGACCACGCGAGTCCATTTCTATGGTTGTGATTTAATTGTGAATTTTTATGCCATGTAAAATAATTTTCAAATCGATTTTATGCGAAAACGGTGTATGTTATCGAAGTTCAACAAGATGACCTTTTTTATGTGCAAAACTCTAAAATTTTATAATCTGACACCAAATTCTGGTACAAGATACGTACAAAAAAGGTAAGGTGGTTTTAACCCTACTTCCTATCAATCTGACCCAAAACCCAAAAAATTTTAAATTGTTATTGTTACGTCTTATTGGTCATAAAAAGTTTAATTAATTCCCCAAATTTCATTTTTATATTTTTAACGGTTTTGGAGATATTAAATAAAAACCATCTTCAGGGGCTTTCCTTTTGGGGGCTGTAGCTCCCTTAAGAGGCATTTCTTGACCTATGTTTATAGGGACTTTTTTCTTATTTTTGCACGTACAATCTGCTGTTAAAGTATGGTGCACTAATTTCAGGACACCCTGTATATTTTTATACTTTTATTATCTCTTGAACAACTGATTACGAACAAACGTGACCTTTATTACGTTTACTAGAGATTAAATTTCAAATATTCTCGATTCAGTCGAAAATATGCCTTCGGCACTTCTACTGATCGATTCTTACATACAAAGCGCGCAAATTTGCGGGTGGAGAAGCGAGGTACCTCGAACGACGCTTTTTTTACTGTGACGTTTTGCAATAAAAAAAGTGTCGTTCTCGGGTGAATAATCTTGGTTATTTTTCAGGCGTTATTCGTATTCTGCGGGGTAGTAACAGGATGTTACTGTTGCTGCTGTTTGTGCTGTTGCTGTAACTTCTGCTGCGGAAAGTGCAAACCCAGGCCGCCAGAGGACTCTGGCGATTATCACACGTTGAACGTAAGTTTTATTAACTCGTTGTCTATGCACGTCTTATTTATTTTAACACTTCACTAAATACAGTTTTTTTAAATTTGTATTGTTATCAAATATTAAGGTAAGTTTTAGTTTTTTGGGTCGTTCTAAGAGTCAA